GATAAATAAACAAAGAAATAAATAAACAAGAGGAACGAATTTATATATAGTTCAGTGAATTAAATACCGACTAAAGTTATTAACGTTAAGAATATTATATGATCAATCATATTATCATTATTAATATTATTATTATTAATCATATTAAATATTTTGATTAGTAGTATCATAAAATATTAATTACCAAATAATTACCGAATAACTAGACGTTTTACTTAATGAATAAATTAGAAGAAATAATCAAATAAAGATGCACTATAGATATACAGTTAGTTTGATAAATTAATGAACCGACGAGTAACGAAAACAAATAAATGAATGCAAACTGCATTTTTCAAATTAGAATTCTTATGTAGAATTTTCTTATTATATAGATACTTATAAAGTTTCGGACTGTGAAGACAAAGGCTGGAAGCGCGCAATAAGAAAGACAGTCCTTTTAAGGACAACAAAAACTGTGAGTAGTGTTAGATAACTAGTATCATCCGCCTGCATTCATGCATTCACGGCTAAATGCTATCATGCATTAGCATTCAAATGCATTTCCCGACTAAAATGTTATCAATGCATTTACTGCTATAATTGTGATGACTATTTTTGATATTAAATAATGTTTGATTACCTGTGATGTGATATTGCTGTGCCTTGTTTGTGTGGAATTGGGATGATGTGGACCACCATGGATTTGTGAGGACGGTATATGTGATATGGATTCTGAATATGATATGATATGGAGTTTGACCGTCAGCCGGGAAATGGGAGATCGGCCCCCCCGTGTGCACCTGATGATATGGATTATATGGAAAACCATAGGATGGCTTCTTGTTGTTGCGCACCTGATGATCTAGATTTGATTGTAGCCCACAGGGTGGCCTCTTGTTGTGAGCACTTGATGATCTAGATTGGATGGAGACCACCGGGTTGCCTCCTGTTGGCATTTTTTTTTTTAAAAAAGAGAGAGAATGGAAAAACAATGAGAGGACTGGTCAGTGAGGATTAGACCAGTTGGCCGTATGGGGGTCGGCTCCCTGCTGCACATGTATGAGAGGGCGAGCCATGTGTGAGGACGGCTCGTTGGGGTTTTAGGTGGTGCCACTGACTAATTCGTTGGGTTTTAGGTGGTGCCACTTGACTAATTTCCAGCCGTGAATGTGATATATGAAGGTGATACTGAATTGTGGTTGCTGTTGTATTGCCATTTGTGTACATGCATTGATCAGTATAATTTAATCGATAAACAAATAAGAATATATTAGCAATCTGTATGAATTGTGTGGGGTGAGAGGGTTTATCTAACCCTTAACTCATTGAGTTGGCGCTCACCCTCTGCCTACCTATTTTTTTCCAAAGGTAATAGAAGAAAGAATCCCTATGAGTTTGAAGACCAATAAGTATAGGAAGACATGTAACGATTAAATAAATGATGATGTAAAAATGTACAGGTAGAGCGCAAATTGTATCTCTAGTGGGTTGTAAGATGAAACTGTAAAACTAGTGTACAGTAATTGAAATAATAATTAATGGGGACCTGTAATCCACAATTATGAAATATAAATGAGATTTGCATAATATAGGCTTTACTATGGGCTTCGGGGGCCTTAAGCCCCACCAGGTCCCTAGTGCCGGTCCCGGTCCATAGAAATGGGTCGTCGACACTTATATGGTTCATATATTTTAAGTTAATTTCTTATTATTCATTTAGTCTATTAAATAACTCAATTAATTCATTAATCAATCAATTAAGTTTTTATATATGAAATATATTGAGAATTGAGTTCTTAGAACGTACCCATTGGAATCGGGGCGAGCGATTCATGATCCAAGCGCGATTAAAGGGAAAGAGGATTCTGTCCTCTCGGGCCTCGCCGAGTGGCCGTCGCCGTCAACGCGGAACCCGCCGCCGCCGGCCGCCGTGCACGGTGGCCGGAAACCGCCCAGAAAATTGCAAGGTCACCACCACTTGACTCCAATTTTCGCGAGGAGTTCAAATCCACCATCGGTTTGATGAGGCAGTGGCTCGTTTGGCCGGATCGACCTCCACAGCCACCTTCAAGCCGCCATCCATGGTGGGTTGTCAAAACTCAAGCAAGATCACAAATCAATGGAGGGGAATTGTTCACGTGGAGGAGAGGAGTCGATCGAGACCTTAAGTTCACCTTGAGCCCGTCGGAAATGGCGAGAAGTCGCCGGAGGTCAAAGGGTATGACTGTCGGAGGAGATGGTCTCGATTCGCGCCGCTGGAGGTCCAATCGGAGCGAGGGGAGGTTGGAAATGTGACCAGCATCGCCAGAAGAACCGTTCATCTCGACGAGAAAAGAGTAAGATGGAGTGCTTGGTCGACTTCCTGGCGGTGAACGGAGATCGTAGTGAGCAAGAGAGAGAGGATGTCGAAGCGCTGAGAAGAAGAAGAGGAAAGAAGGGAGGAGGAAAGGAAAAGAAAAGAGAAAAGAAAGAAAAAGTGGCTTCTAGACCATCCGGTTCGATTTGAACCGGTTTGGTCTGATTTCGTTTGGTTTTCCGAAAGTTTTTCACTCGATTTTTCGGATATTCGTGGGGTTTTCCGACAATTTCAAACTGATCCGGGTCCGGTCGATTTATTTTAATTATTTTAAAAGTTAGGTTCATAACATTTCCATCCATTATCTAAATCGAATTTAAAAAAATATAGTTAGTATCATATTTGGTTTTTAGGAAAATTAAATTTATATATATATACATAATAAGATTAATTGCCCTGGACTTCATTTTTATTACTCGAAAGTTTCCGAAACGAACTATTTTGGGGTAGGCCAATCAAAAATTTGTGGGCTTCGAAATCGGGACTGTGTTAACCATGCAGCCACAGCGGCCAAATACAATTGCAGCCCACGCGGCCAAAATTTGCGATTTTTGATTTAATAAAAAATGCAAAGGTTTCGAAAATAAAAATTCAGGGTGTTTCACCAAATAAATGAAAATATATTTTTAAATCCTTTCTAATATTTTCTAATAGAGAAAAAACTTGTAGTATTAAAATATATTTCAAATATGAATATTTTTTTAACCAAATAAATTGTAACTATGGATCCATTTAACAAATTGTATTATTTCAACATAAATGTTTCAAATTTGAATATCCTTTCTAAATATTTCTTGATATTTCAAGTGTATTAAGAAAATTATTCAATTTGTCTAAATTATAATAAATTATTGAGTGAATTTGCTATACTACCATTAATTTATTATTTGTTAAATCCACAAATAACATTGTCATTGTGCTCAAGGAACACGAAAAAATTGAATTGCAATAATTACGAAATTTGAACATGAAATTGTAACATGTGATAAAAGAGAAAAAAAAAACACCTGAAGTTCTTAATTTTTTTTTTCTAATTTAACCAATCACGTCCGAAATCGACTTTGCAATTTTACTTATGTTGAAAAAAAAAAACATAAATTTTATTCTATTTTAAAATATAAGGGCATGTAAAAAATTTTCAAATTTACCATATAAAGTGCTTTAAAAAATGCAAGAGCAAAATTAGAAAACTTAATTTAATTAGTTAATAATGAAATTCTAATTAAAATAAAAATACTATGTGAATTTTAAATCCTAACTATAAGAGAACTCTGATTACACAAAAACGCTGTACAAAATGCATTTTACATGAGTTGGGCCCAGAGCCCAACCTTTTTTATTACAGTAGAATTCTGGTGATGAACCGAACCCATTGATTTGGTGAACTTAAAAAAAAAAAAAAAAAAAAAAAAAAAAAAAAAAAAAAAAAAAAAAAAAAAAAAAAGAAAAAGGAAGAAAAACACTCACCTAGTCCTAAGGAGTTGAGACTGAATCCAAAAGCCATCTCAGAGCTCCTCAAAAACAGCTATACTGAAATATACAGACAGAGAGAAGCAAGGTGGTCCCGAGTGAGACACAATACCTTTAGGATTTTCTGGGTCCTCCTGAAATTCAGTGCTTCATTTTAGTCATCTTATCATCACATCATAACATCATCTAAACATGTGTTCTGAAGAAACAGGAAAGGCATTCTGTAATCTGCACCACAGAACTAACACTCCTACACTTCATTGTCTATTCGAGATCAATAGATCAAAAGAAAATGAGGAGGAAACTCCTATCCTTTCTCAAGCAAATATGCACCACAATCCGCAGGCATCGAGTTCGAATCAATCTTGAGTACTGAATTGGAATGAAAGGATTTTTCATATCATTCATTCTTTGCATTTTTCTAATTTCATCAATGAAAAACCAATTGCATAACAACTAGAAAAGCAATTTCAACAGCCAAGAAAAGACTGGTTCATATTCAAATTTGGAAAATTAACTCTGGCAATGGACCAAATACTTACATTACATTGACTTCCTGATAGCAAACAAATACAAAACCAGCCAAATAAATAATATATATAGAGAGGGAAATTCAAAACCTTACACTGAGCTATCAAAAGCAAGTAAATAAAGAGAAATATACTACTTGACATTCCACTGATCCATTTGCTGCGGTGTTGATCAGATACAAGAGAGGAGAAAGAACTCCATCAGCCTGTGGGTAATCAGTGTTCGAATGATCTTTAATTTAACCTAATTCACAAAAAAAAAAAAAAAAAAAAAAAAAAAAAAAAAAAAAAAAAAAAAAAAAAAAAAAAATGACCAATCTCATGAACATAACAATTGAAGCTTTCAACAAGTCACAGTCCTTATTCTTCCACTGATAAATCAAAAGATAACACCCAAACCAAAAGTCATATAATACTCTAAATCGGCATTAAGAACATCGAATAGGCATATAAAAAAAAAAAAAAAAAAAAAAAAAAAATGAACCAATCTCAAGAACAAACAATTGAAGCTTTCAACAAGTCACAGTTCCTTATTCTTCCACTGAAAATCAAAGATAACCACCCAAAACCAAGTCATAAATACCTAAATCGGCATTAGACATCGAATAGGCATAAATAACTACAGTACTGAAACCTCAGATAGCTTCACATGATCCTCCATCTTATCCATGAGTATTAACAGCTTCCCAAACTAAGTTCTTTGGAACTGGATTCGCAAGGTCCCTAGCCTGCAAGGCTGCAGCTGAAAGAGTTCTAATTGTCATAACATTAGCCTTCCAAAATGATGCACTATCGTAAGGTAAATGATGCTTCTTGCATAGCTCCTTAACAAATGGTGAGATTTTTCTAAGCTGGCATCGAGGCAAACGTGGAAACAGATGATGTTCAATCTGGAACTGCAACCCACCATGAAACCAATCCATCCAAGAAGAACAGTTTATGTTGAGTGTTCCCTTTGTTTGTTTCTCAAACCAATCATTTCCGCTTGGAAGACCAACATAAACATTGGATGAGAAATGATTCAAACAGAACTGAACGTGTTGAATCCCAGTAACCGCGAAACTAGCAAGAACAAACATCACTCTCTCTCCCCAATTTGGTAAGCAAGAAACAAGTAAAGGATACCAAATCCAAAACACAAGGACTCCTAAAATCTCTTGACCTCTGTTGGGTACCCTTCTTTTGGATAACAAAAGCAAGAAAGATTGTGCAAACAAATTAAGCCTAGCAAAACACATCACAGGATAAAATGTCCAATGCTGATAACTAACCAAAAACCTACAAACAGAATCGAAGTTCATCTTCCTTTCATAAAAATAAGACTTAAGTGAGCTAAAAAGTTTTGAAGATACCGCAAAAAAAGGCATGTGCTGCAGATCTGGGTCAAATTCAAGACTATTACAGGCAATGTGGTGGGTATTATGGTTCCATTTCCACCACGCAATACTTATCCCTGCAAGGCAATTACCAGTTAAGATCTGAACCAACCGATTGATTTTAGGGCTTGTCATGACCTGATAATGCCCCGAATCATGTCCAATCCACCCACTTTGAATCCACAAAAACCCTATTAACCCACCAGAAAGCAAATGTACCCATGTACTATCTGAGCATAAAATCCCATAAATACTGAAAGAAAGCAGCATTGCCACGACACAAAGTGTGACTAATGTCACGTGCCCTTTCTTTTCAAAAAGACCCATTTTTGTGAACTCAGCAAGCAATTTTCTATAATCTTTTGATACCTCAGAAACAGAGTGGTCTTTGAGATAATATCCAGTAAAGAATTTGTCGAGATATTGCCATGCAGTGCCCGGATGATATGCAACGAAAGCATCAGTAACGTCTTGCCCGGAGAGATGAAGCAATGGAAGCTCACCTCCTGGATGGTCCTTTGTCCAACCGGTGACATTGTAGACCTTCCCCTGTATTGAGATCCATAGATCCCCTGACTTAGTGTGCTTCTTTAGCTCTTCTTCTGAAATGTACTTCTTTGAATCCGCCATGGCAGAAGCAAAAAGATTAGCTAACAAACACAGATCTTTCTCTCCTTTTTCTTTATATCTTCTTTTCACTCTCTTCCTTTCTGGACTGCGAAAGGAAGAGACTTTTACAAGAGGGAAAGCATCACAGAGGTTTTATAGAGTTGGATATTTAATTGTGGTTTTTGTTAAATTTCTTTTTCATTTTTTTTTCTTTCACTATCTAATGTTTCTTGTCTTAGGAATTAGGAAGGACACGTAGAGAAAAAAAAAAATAAAAATGGTATCTTTATGTAATATGTATGTCCTAATACGTGGTTAGAGAAGCACCACAAGATTTGTTTAAACCAAACCAGAGCCAAAAACCTATTTACCATTAGGAATGGGACTCGAGAGGGAGTGGAATAGGGAATTACTGGATTGGCTATAGAAAAATTGTACTGCTAGTAGATTTTAGTACTCTTCGAGTAATTTTTATTTTTTCTTTACTCTTTTTAGGCTGCATTTGCAGTTACAAGTTACAACTCATAAGTCATAACCACATCAGCCTATCCCACACTAAGGTCTACAGCTTTTGACTTAGTCAAAATAACTGGAATTTGTTTAGTTTGAAAGTTTAACGACACTATATGTGTAAAATATATGAATGATGTAAATTGTGAGAAATATGATGTACGGTGAGGATCTGATGTTGTAAAGATTTTTCATTTAAATACTTAATTGATAACTTTGTATTTATTAAGAGAATTTAAAAAATTGCAAATTTGCTATGTTTAATTAAGTAAAGCTGTGAAATTAATGGTTAAAAAAAATAATACTGTGAAGCCTGAAGGGCGAACTGAAATTTGGCCACTATTTTTTTTCCACTTAAAATTAAGTAAAAAATAGAAATCAATATATTAAAAATTTATTAATTAATTTGTAGGTTTATATAGTTAATTTCCCTTTTTGTCCAGCCTTTTTTAGAGAAAATAAAAATTCATTGTTGATGTTGGTTGGCTCTCATCTACCAAATAATCAGCAATTTGAATGGTAGCGTTAGAGTATCAAATCCTTAAGAACGTTTGTTGTTGTATAACCAAAAAAAGCAACTAATTTTGAATTAAATATATTATAAATATTATTAAATTAATAAAAATAAAAATACAGTTTAAGGCATGTGGGAGTTACGAATTATTTGAGTATTTAATCGGAAACCCTAATTATAAATTAAGTAATGTTTAATTAGGTAATATCGTACAAGCCAAAACCAGTAAAATGCAAAACAAAATGCAAGTTGTTAATGGATAAGAATAATGAGGAATGCATGTGCTATGTATAGCTCAAGCCTTATTAAGGAACCAAACCCAAAAAATATCTGAGGATCCTTAAGGTTTAAGAAATGAGGAATCTTAATCTCAATTATTTCTTTTAAGAAAAATAATAAAAAAAGGAAAATAAAAATTGGGAAAGTTCGTGGTGGCCCCACGGCACGTTTACCTTTGTCTAGCTGTAAACCTGTAATCACGTTACTCAACCTGCACCGTATGGTCCACAAGTCAATTCAATAGTCTTCCTTATCGTTCAGATTTGCTCTTATAAAGTTCGTTTATTAATTTAATTTCATATTTAGTATTTTTTTATAATTATTAAAATATTATTAGTTTTTACAAATACTACAATATAATATTATTAGAACGTTAGTAACAATTATAATAATTAAAATTATCAAAATAAATGTGATGATATTACTCGTTATTATTTATATTTAATTTTAAAATTATATTATTATAGTGATATTACAGTTAATTATTGTAATAGTTATTTTAATTATACATGTATTGGTAATTTATGTAAAATAGACAGCTAAAACTATTTCTGTGTGTATCGATATTTATTATTTTGTACATAAAATTTGTATTATACACAAGTCTGTGTGTGTATCCAATAAATTATTAAATTGATTTTTTCAATTTATTTACAGTCCGGTCCTACCTCTGACCTAACTGTGGCCGAATTGAAAGCACTTAAAGATGGGCTCGTGAAAGCCCATTCTTCCATATCATATTATTCAAGCCCAATCTGAATGCTAAACCCCAATGGTTTCGTTTAGCCCACTTCTTGTTTCCATTTCACCGTGAGTCGAGAAAGGGGATTCAATTAAACGTGTCTCACCAATACCATGGTTTCATAGATTTCCCGTGAACTATTTGGTGACTCAAATATTCCTAATACAATTTTGTATTTGGAGTAGTAATTAAAAATTAAATCTCTAGAGAAACTCGGGGAGATAAAATCTTTAAATGATATGATATAGATAAAGCGAATATACTCGCGCTTCTCTGCTTGATTCTTCCCTTTAACCCCTACTGTTTGTCTAAACCCCTGCCACCTCTCTTTGTCTTCTTTACAACCATTCATCAAGTGAGCTATACCCAATTTGTTGTTCTATAAAGGTAATGAATTAAATCTGTTAAATCTTACCTTTACTTTGTTTTTCGGGGAAAAAGGGCAAATCTTTTCTTCTAATTCTCTTGTATTAGTTATTGAGGATTGAAGTTTGGGTAAGTTACTGTCTACCCTTTTGTGGGTAGTGATGATCCTTGAACTGGATCAAGTGTTCATTTCATCGGGTGTTTTTGTTTTGCACTTCGGCTTTGGAGCTTACATTTTTTCTGTATTGCGTTTTAAGTATAGTGTGACCAGAATTAAGTATGGACTGAAAATTGCTGAATTCTAGCTTGGCAGTGTAGCATATTCCTGTTTTTGTTTTCTTTCCATATTTTTAAACGCGACATTTTACTAATTTTATCAATTTTTTCTTGATAAAGTTGTGTCGTTTGCATTCTTTGTAGTTGAAGAGTAGAAGGATGAGAAATTAGGGTGTTGATATTTATGAAGTTGAGAGAGAGCAGAAATGTGTGTTATTTGTGTATGGTGGTACAAACTGTATGTGGTTTGCAGAAACTCTGCTGGTGAGTCTATACCTTTCTCTACGTGAGAAGGCAAGGGACTACCCTGCACCGGTTCTGTTTCTTGTGTTTTCTGAAGCTAATCTATATCAGTCTTTTTTAATTCACTTGTAGGTTTTTCGAATTCTTTATTTTATGAATATTCCTACAGTTGAATTTTGGTTCTCCCTTGTTGGTGTGTTAGATTTTATTACATAGACATGCAGACTGATGAAAGAGTTCCCGTTGCTTTTACATCATTCATGCCAATTAGTGACGGTGATGTTTGCCTTCGTTGTGAACTATTGTTGTGCCTTACTTCTCAAATACATACGTTGCAGTTCTTGACAAGTGATAAGTTATTTCTGTTTCTTTTCATTATTTTATGATGGAAATCTGGCTAAAAGTAGATATATCTCCCAACATAACGGATGCTTCTTTACTTTCTTAATGTCTTACTAGCCCCATCTCTCTCTCTCTCTCTCTCTCTCTCTCTTATATAGTCTGACATATTGCCAATATAATCTAAAGTCTGAAACACAGTCATTGTCTGAAGTCCAACTACTAATGCAGTTCTTTTCTTTTTTCTTTTTTTTTTTTTTCTTTTTTTTCTGAAGCATTTGGCTTTTTTCAGGCATATATATGCATATTGTTTAGCAGAACCAAGCACCATCCTTAGAATTTCTGGAAGTTCATAGAATAAGGGTGTTTGTTATCCATCATGGCACATTTACTCTCAACTTCTTGCTCCTTAAAGTTGTCCTCCAGCTGCAGATCTTACTCTCAACTTTTGAACCAATGCCCAACTACATGCAGTAGCTTTTTTAAGATTCAAACTTCAAGATCTCCTTCCAGAAGGCTTATGTTGCAAGGGAAGAGACCAAACAGAAGTTTTGTTATCCAAGCAACTGCGGTCCCAGTGAGCCAAGAAGCTCCATCTCAATCAAGCTCCGATTCCTACGATACTCCTGGTGAATCATCCAAGCCACGACGGGTCATGGTCATTGGTGGAGATGGCTACTGTGGTTGGGCCACTGCTCTCCACCTATCCAACAAAGGTTATGAGGTTGCTATTGTTGACAGCCTCATCCGTCGTCTTTTTGACCACCAACTTGGTCTAGACTCTCTGACCCCTATCTCTTCCATCCACAACAGGCTCCGCTGTTGGAAATCACTCACTGGAAAAAAAATTGAACTCTATATTGGTGATATTTGTGACTTTGAATTCTTATCAGAAACCTTCAATTCATTTGAGCCTGACGCTGTAGTCCATTTTGGGGAGCAACGCTCAGCTCCATATTCAATGATTGATAGGTCTAGAGCTGTGTTTACTCAGCATAACAATGTTATCGGTACACTTAATGTTCTCTTTGCTATAAAGGAATTCAGAGAGCAGTGCCATTTAGTGAAGCTTGGGACAATGGGAGAATATGGAACACCAAACATTGACATTGAAGAGGGTTATATTACAATTACCCATAATGGAAGAACAGACACTTTGCCTTACCCTAAGCAAGCCAGTTCTTTCTACCACCTTAGTAAAGTTCATGACTCAAATAATATAGCCTTCACGTGCAAGGCTTGGGGAATTAGAGCTACTGATCTAAACCAAGGAGTAGTTTATGGAGTAAGAACTGACGAGACTGAAATGCATGAGGAACTCAGCAACAGGTTTGATTATGATGGAGTTTTTGGGACCGCATTGAATCGGTTTTGTGTCCAGGCTGCTGTTGGTCATCCTCTTACTGTATATGGAAAGGGAGGTCAGGTAAGATTCCTTCAGTCAATATTACTATAGCTTTGCCATACTGCTTATGTTCTTTGCTATTTACCTTTTAGATAAATAAGGGGGGCAATGATAATTTTGATCACTGAATAATTTCTCAATTTTGGAGGTTATATATTTGGGTGAAAGCTTGTGAAATATAATATATATTTTAGCTTGTGGCTTGTACAAACTGTGATGTTTTTTTAATTTCATTTTAGGACGTCCTTAGCTAAAGGTTTGAGTGGATTTGTGATAAAACGTCATTTCTTACTTGGAGATGCTTCTAACTAACCCGTGTTCTTGTTTGGAGATTAGTCTGTTGAAAAAGTGTTATTTCTCTCGTGATGTTGTTCATGTTGAAGAATCTGGATCCCCTATAAATGCAGCAATTTCCTATTGAAGTCATTCATATACCCTATCTAGTGATATAAATACATGGAGCCGATTCTGGTATGCATTGCTCCTATTTGATGTTCAAATCAAGTCATACTTCAAAAGTTGGCAAGTTTCTGTACAACTAGGACTTGGGGTATCTTGGGAGCCAATGTAATTCACTGCCTAACTCGTGCACCTCATCCATTTAATCATATGCTAGGAGGATCAGTACTTTCTTTTCTTCAATCTTTTGTTTGTTTCTTTGCAGCTTATTTGAATTAATTTTCAGGCGTTACATTTTGTTATATGTATGCTTTTTTTTCTGTGACATATTCGTTCTTGCATTTCTAACTGTGAACAATGATTTTATAAAATTTTTCTGTTTCTACATATAAAGTATCCTGAATGATTTTTCTTCACTACCCTTTCAATTTATATGATTCAGACCAGGGGCTACCTTGATATAAGAGATACAGTTCAGTGTGTAGAACTCGCCATAGCAAATCCAGCTAGGCCTGGAGAATTTCGGGTCTTCAATCAATTTACTGAGCAGTTCTCTGTCAATGAACTTGCTTCCCTTGTAATAAAAGCAGGAGAAAAACTTGGGTTAGATGTGAAAACAATATCTGTGCCCAATCCACGAGTAGAGGCAGAAGAACATTACTACAATGCCAAGCACACTAAGCTCATTGAACTGGGGCTCAAACCGCACCTTCTTTCAGACTCTCTTCTTGATTCATTGCTCAACTTTGCTATAAAGTTCAAGGATCGTGTTGATTCTAAACAGATAATGCCCAATGTTTCTTGGAGAAAAACTGGTGTCAAGCCAAAGACTGTTGCAGCCTAATCAAGCGAATGCAGTTTATAGATGCACATTTGAGAAAGTTGTTAACCAGCCTGATGTTCTGTCATTTCCGTTCTCTGTTTTTAGTAGCAGCTGCCGCTTTTTCAACTTTCCCCTTAAATTTTAGTATTTAGGTTTTTAGTCGTAATCTATACTAGCTAATCGGATGTAAACATGTATCATGAATCTCGAGTTCAGGGTTTTTGTTGGCCTAGTCTTGATTGTACTAGGTATATGCCTTGTGCTAATGTGGTATGATAAGATAGTGCTCGATGTAATATCTTGAGAGAGAGAGAGAGTGCGAAATATTGTCATTTACACATTATTAAATAATTGATAAAGGAGTTGTGTTTTGATGTGGTCACATCTGATTTCTTTCAAACTTGGAGTACTCGAGGTGCCGTATTTTGAATACTTCAATTCGTAATCTGTTAATGGTTTGTGTGACAGTGCTGGTTTGACAAATGAATTTGCTGTGCTGAAACATGTATAAAAATTTAAAATACAGCATATGGCAACCCAAGTAAACATATAATAGGGGCCGGCTGATAAAGGTACATTTTGTCGTAAACGCCCCAATTCATAAGACCTACAAATCCATTACCTTACTACAGTACAGGCGGCAAAATTTTAAACAGAGCCGCTTAAAGTGCTTGCTGTAGCAGGCACTTGGACTGAGAAGGTACTATTGAACACGACTGGAGTTTGTACTACCTCACTTGCTTAACATGTATGAAATCTACCCATGTGACCTGCTAAGCATGCGGTGAGGGAGCACAAGCTCCCATCTTCACTTGCAATTTTCATGTTCAAACTACTTTAAACCTCCTAATCCTCAGCGAGTTCTTTATTCTTCTGGTGTCGATCAAGCTATCACAATCGTGAATGAAAAGAATGAACTTTCAAGGACATCATCTCAAAATCTTCCCTCAAGAAATCTAGCACAACTGAAGCTAATTCATCCTGATGCCAAGTATACTCATGATCAGCTCCTTCTATGATGTGTAATTTATGATTAGGTATGAACTTAGCAAATTCCAAAGCATCTTCAACAGGTACAATTTTATCCATGGATCCATGAACTGTCAAGACCCTGAAATTAACGGAATTAAAATCAGGGCAAGAGTAAGAAATTGAAATACTCACAAAACATAAGCATGGATTTTCACAAACAGTTTGGAGAAATGAGTGCAAGAATCAAAAACAATCTTCAGAATATGTAGGATGACTCTGGATATTGCATTAAGAAAGCCACAAACTTTAAGGTTATGTGCGGTACACCATAATGGGATGTGATGTAATATTATCAGATGCTTTTTCACTTCAGAGTAAAGATTGCAAAGACATACCAGCTCGGGATTAAGGCTCACTTGTTGTTGTTGTGCATTTTCAGTTCAGTGTTACATATTCTTACAGCACAACAAACATAATCTAAATGAAATTGGCATGATTATCAATTTCTGACCTGCACTCCGGCTGAATTAGCAAACAGGCTGCATGAGTATCAGTAGTTAGACGATCCATTAAACTCTCTTTAGTCACTCGATACTCGAACTTCCCTATAAAGAGAGGGGAAAAATTGAATCACTGGCTGAGGAATATGATGGGGGAAAAAAAATTTCAAAGCAGCTAAATTCTAGAAGACTTAAGTAATGGCATACGTCCTAATAATAAAGAATATCATCATCTTCACTCGAAATAACTCGAACTCCTATAAAGAGAGGGGAAAAATTGATCACCTGGCTGAGGAAATATGATGGGGGAAAAAAAATTTCAAAAAGCAGCTAAATTCTAGAGACTTAAAGTAATGCAATACGATCTAAATAATAAAGAAATATCATCATCTGTGGTTGTATTCCTTTTACGTCCTAAATATAAAAGATATCAATCATCTGTGGTTTGTATTCTTTCATTTACAAAATTAAAGAACATAGGAACTTGAATGTGGAAATCTGTCAAACCATAATGACAAAATGGATGTTTGATTGCTTACAGCCTTTCTATTTTTTCAATTCATATCCATTTTTGCTCAATTCTTTGTAAAGAGTCATTACCGCAGCGCCCTTCAATGCCTCTCTCCAGATTAAAAACCGGCCAAGAAATATTCACCACTGTATGTACGTCATTGTAACTTAGAAGCATACAACAGCACCCACATTTCGCTCCTACAAGGAACCTTTGTCAAAGAAGTGCTTCAAAAAGCCAGCAAATATATCACAAATATCTAATAATTTTACTTCTAAATTAATCTAAAATAGAACAAGGCACAGTCTGGTGTGGCCCAAAACATAAATCTTTGTGAATAAAATGTCCATGAAAATGCATTAGCTTGTAAAATCAATGTGAATCCTCCTTCGGAGAGAGGTAAAAATTAGCTTTAAAAGATACCAGGAGAGACGTGAATTTTTTGTCAAAAGAAGTTCAATAATTAGTGATATTAACTCTGACTCCACCCTTAAAAGATACAGGAGAGACTGAATTTTTTGTCAAGAAGTTCATAATTAGTGATATTAACTCTGACTCCACCCATGACTTGAGAAATTTTCGCATCGGAATAATTTGAGGTTTATTGGCTGACAAGTAAGAATGCTAACTCAGGAAAAGGAATAATTTATGCAAATATGTATACAATGTATAACTTCTACTGTGAAATAAAAATTGCTGAACTTTTTCATTCTATAGCTCTTCTTACGTAGACCAAAAATGTTACAATGGGCATACCTTTACTGTGCCCAATAATTGCGCTTATTGATCGTTTCTGCCCACAAAAGTGTTGGACTACAGCACGTAAATCATCAGCTTCTCTGCGGTAATTACCATACTGAAATGAACCTTCACTTTCCCTGGAACGCACCATAAAATTTAGGAAGGTTTCAAATCATAAGACAACTAGCATTCCATACTCAGGCTTACTATTGCTTCTAAAGAGATTGCCTGTGCCTTGCAACATAAGCCACAATCTAAATTGAAAGAACTATCTACAATATGGCAGCCCCAAAAACTTATAAAATCAATTCCTGATATCCTCTTCAATTCCAACTGGAAAAAAAAAACCAACAAAAACACAAAGCTTACCCGTTTCCAGCAAAATCAAAGCGAAAGGCACTGATTCCTTCTTTCTGTATAGCAGCAGCAAGGTTCGCCATTGGTATCCGTTCCTGTACACAAATAAATAGAGAAAACGATCTCAACCAAGGAACTAACCCACCAAAATTCCCAACAAAACAGCTTGGGGAAAAAATGGACACTCAGGAAGAAAAAAAAGTTCATCTTAGTTAAAAATCAGAAATGTAAATGACGTTCATAACAAATCATAAAATCATCACCTTTGAAGATTGAAATCCATGGCACACAATAACTAGCTGCTTAGAACCAGTATCATGTAATAAACCCACAAGCTTCTCGCCATGGCAGTTCTCTATAATAACTCTTTGCAGTTGGAGAGCTATAAATAGATAAAGGGGTCAGGGGACAAGAATGATATAGCATAAAGGAAAAAAAAAATCCTGAAAATTTAAACGTAAAGCTAAAATGTCAATGGAGATTTTGTCCCAATTATCTTGATTCTTTAAGGACTAACATAGGATAATTGATAAAGAAGCGTACTTGTGACTTAAAGATCATGAATTTGGAATTATTCTCCTCTAATGTGAAAATCAAAGCAAATGGTGGATTTTAATTGAAAAAATAGGCAAATAAAGATAAGGAATAACTCACCTGGGTTTTGAAGATGTTGAAACGACTGAGTCGGCCGAGTCATTGATCGTGGGTATAGTCTCGGCCTTCAATTGAGCTACAAAACGCGCCAAATTAAGGAAGATTGGAATCAGGAATTCCTTTTGTTTATCAGAGTTCAGAGACATTAAACAGACGGTTGAGCTAATAGCTATGTTGAAATTCACGAAGGTAACTCGTAGATTAGTTTACCAATCACTTTAGAAACGACCAGTCGTTACTCAGTTTTTGTTAGAAATTCTTCGCACGTCTCCAAAACTACGGAGTATTGTTCATTACTACAAGAGCCGACACTATTATTTTGCGAAAAACGACGGATTTGTAGTTGGACGATATTGTGAATATCAAATCATCTTGCTCGTTTAGTACTTGAAGATCAGATAACATATGTTCCCAGTTGAAAATCACGCAGTACATAAATGGCGGAAAAAAAAATTGTACTTTCATCGTGATGTTCCGCTCACAAAAAAAAAAAAAAAAAAAATCGTTGATGTTCCGCTCACAAAAAAAAAAAAAAAAAAATGATGAAGAAATCAATTTTTTAAAAGTAAATAGTTAAAAAAAAAAAAAAAAAAAAAAAAAAAAAAAAAAAAAAAAAAGACAAGCACAACAACATCACATTAGTAAGTAGCAACATAAAAGAGAAATATGATTAAAGGTGTAATCTTAATCCATTTCCAAATATCATCCTGAATTTCACATTTTAATATAAATTTAATATTTAAATTTTATGAAAATAATTTCAAGATTACGATTGATTTTTTTTTTTTTTTTTGGTTAAAACTGATTTGTACGCATTTAAGTTCCATCTCCTCCTATTTTATTTTGAAAATTTAATGTTCTCGCCCCATCTTTTTTAATCCAAAATTCTAAATATCTTTTCTATTTATGAATCTCAAATTACATACATAAAAATCATTTTTATTTGATTTTATTATTATTTTCACTCAAGTTTCTCCTACTGAATTTTTTTTTTTTTTTTTTTTTGTATCAATTAATAAGTATAGGTGGAGTTCTCCTGCTTTTTGATGAATTTTTTTTTTTTTTTGTATACAATTAATAAGTATATGGAGTTCTCTCTTTTGATAAAAAAATAATTATAAAAAAATATATAAAATCTCAATCAATTCTCTACCCGATGCCGATAAACCCAAATTCTCACTTTGACCCGTCCCGGAAAATGAAATGAGATAGGAGGAAGAAACTATATACCAGTTGAAACAGAAGCGACTGTATGTTTTATGCACAACATTTTGAGGTGTATTTTTTGAAAAGCATAAGATGGTTTCAGAATAGATGATAGCATGTAAAGGCAGAGTAAAACTTGAGAATCTTTTATAATTTTATCCATAAATAAACCCTATCGAAGCCGTATAAACAAAATCCATTAAAGCTAAGGATAAAATAAAATAAAACTAAGAAAAGAAAAACAAAGAAAAATTAAAAAAAGGCATTGGATTTCTATCAATTCGCTTCTAAGTAACAGCTACATTTGGCATGGTCATGTTATTGCCATAACTTCTAGAGCCCGTGGTCAATCTCAAGACTCACAGAGGTTCATAAATAGAACATCCCCGGCAGCAATCAAGCTACAAACTAGAGCACAAAACGCCTTGGAAGTCAATCACTATATGCACGTTAAATTGAATAGAATGGCCAATTGGCAACAGGCCTTATAATTCCATTTGTGCTAAGATCCAACAGAAGCAATACCTTTTGCTTTGGCTGCTGCAGTTGCTGCAGCGGCAGCAGCAGCAGCCGCTGCAGCTGCAGATGCAGCTGGATTAGGTGTTGACGGAGGCACTGGATTGGATTGTGAACTGCTCTGTGGTGCGACTATCTGTTGATGCTGTGGCTGTTGTTGTTCCTCAGAGTTCACTTGGGCAAGCAGAGCATTGATTTGGGTCCCTGAGAGTGTCTCGTGCTCAAGCAAAGCATTGGCAAGTGCATGAAGCTCCTTGCTATGGGTGGTAAGGATGGTTTTTGCATTGTTGTAAGCCTTTTCCAGGAAATTCTTGACTTCTTGCTCAATAAGAAGTCTAGTCTCAGTGCTCATGCTCTTTCCATTATCATCATAATTGTGGGTAACAACCCCAACTTCTTTACTCATGCCATACTTGGTAACCATTGCTCTTGCAAGTTTAGTAGCTTGTTGGAGATCAGAAGATGCCCCTGAGGTAACTTCATTTTCCCCAAAGATGAGTTCCTCTGCAACTCGGCCTCCCATGCAAACATCAAGCCTAGCAAGCATCTGCTTCCGGGATATACTTGTCTGATCCTTGTCCGGCAATTGGGAAACCATGCCAAGAGACATACCTCTTGGAACTATTGTTGCCTTGTGAACTGGCAGAGCTCCTTCAGTATGAATAGCAACAAGGGCATGCCCACCCTCATGGAAAGCAGTTAACTTCCGTGATTCCTCAGAGATTACTGCTGACTTGCGTTCACTTCCCATCATGATCTTATCCTTTGCATACTCTAGATCAGCCATTGTCACTGCTTTAGCACCATCCATTGCAGCCTTGAGAGCAGCTATATTGACCAAATTTGCAAGATCAGCACCTGAGAACCCCGGCGTCCCTCTCGCAATGATCATCAAATCAACATCATCTGCCTTCAAGACCTGCAATCCCACAATGAATGGTCAGACATGTCACAAGAATCAGAAGTTATTGATAACAACAACCCCAAGAGAGAGAATCATGGTCACCCAACATAGTGATTCCAATGCTGCCAAAAAAAAAAAAAAAAAAAAAAACCCAACAATAGTGATTCAATTTCTGCCGAAAAAAAAAAAAAAAAAAAAAAAACACACACACAAACAGAGTTTCTTGGCCCAAATAATTGGAATGATTCCAGTCAGAATCACAATAATTGCAAGTGCCAGTATACTCAAGGCCAAATAAGCCACCATATATATTTTTATGGCTAAATAAGTAACTCAATAACAGCAATATAATCATCCAATAATAGCAGGAAATGTAAGAAATAAATTGTGCATGTGGGCACATCTGTCCTACTGTATATGCACATCCAGGCAAAGCTTAAAATAGAACAGTCAGGTCTGCTCAGCACATAAACTGCCAATGCTATTTCAGAAGTGTAAAGACAAGTTAAAAGTTTCTGTTCCAAGAGAAATATAATACCTTTGACATGTGGGATTCCATAATCTGCCGCCTTCCTTCCACATCTGGATTAGGAACAACAATGTGGCGATCAAACCGTCCAGGTCTCACCAGGGCCTTATCCAGTGATTCTGGAAAATTTGTTGCTGCAATTACTATAATACCTTCATTTTGCTTAAAGCCATCCAACTCAACAAGCAACTGATTCAAAGTCATCTTCATGTACTGTTGATCCTTAGGGTTGCGGCTTCCTCCTATAGCATCTATCTCATCAATAAATATTATACAAGGCGACCGTTTCTTTGCAGCAGAAAAAAGATCCCTCACCCTTCGGGCTCCAACTCCAACAAACATCTCCTCAAACTCGCTTCCACTGCATGAGAAGAAAGGAACCCCAGCTTCACCAGCAATAGCTCTGGCTAACATAGTCTTACCAGTCCCAGGTGGGCCAACAAGTAAAACACCTTTTGGGAGCTTACCACCCAGACGAGTGAAGCGCTTTACCAGGGAAAAGCAAGAATCAATTAAAAAAAAACTTTCTGAGAATGAATAAAAAATTGCCATAGCACATAAATCGGTTATTTATTTAACTTTTAAAGAAAATAAATAAATATACGTTTTGACACTTGAGAAATATAGAAGGGAAATAAAGTCCACTAACTATGAGGAAATTCAATGTTTATTTTTCACAAAGCCAGACAACAAGAGAAATTCAAGGTTTAATCTATAACCTATATCATACAACAACAGTGCTAACATTATTAGGAATAAAAGGAAACAATTACAAAGATTTAAAACATGACATTATTGAGAATACCAACAAAAGAGAGACACATTTTACAGGTTCAATATTCTTTCATTAAAGACATCCACCACAGAAGAGAGAGAGAAAGAGAGAAAGAGAGAGAGAGAGAATTTCTCGAACATAACAGCATGGGTAGTCTACCTTTGGATCTCGAAGATAATGGACAATTTCTTCTAGCTCCGCCTTTGCCTCATCAACACCCTTTACATCACTAAATTTGGTGTTAGATTCCATGCTAGGTTGCACCTCTTCATGTAGGCCAAGTCCTAATACATTGAAAACATCAAATCAAGGAAAAAATTTTCACCAATGTAAAATGTTATTAATCGAATGATAAGAGCACCAAAAAAAATATCATGACACTATAATACCTTTACTGATTCCTCTGTCCTCAATAAGTGCTCCTACACCAGAAATCAACAAAAAGGCCAGTGCAATAGTACGAATAGTACGCCAAAGCTGCTCCTTAAAATGGCCTCCTTCTGTAGCCACCATGTGAATAGGTGCACCAGCAGTTCCAAGAATGCCATCTTTTGTAAGTTTTCCCACGTTCTTGAAAGCAGAGAGACCTCCTATGCCTTCTTCCTCCTTTGCCGAGTTTCTGATGCCTACAGATTTTAAAGGCAGCTCTTAATAATTCATGACATCAAGAACTATAAGTAACAAAAGGTGGGAGGAGGTTGGGTCAACAAAATGTAAATATTCAGAATGTAAGTTTCAGGAAGTCCAAATTCAAGCAAATAAATTTTTGCCCAAAGCATTTGGTAAAACAAGAACAAGAACAAGAACAAGAACAAAATAAAATAAAAGCATTTCCCTATCTGCTTTTCTAAACAGAAATAACAAAGCATCAAAAAAACATATTTAGAAACAGAAGAATTGCATTACCTCTCTGCAAAGTCTTCAGCAACTCACTGTCATCCAGCCTGTCAACTTTGACTAATGCCTTTACATATTCTGAAAGTGCAGCATTGTTACTATGTAATGATGGTTGACTTTCAAATAGTCGTATTACTGCTTCAGGATCATTTCGATGGTAAAGTTCTTTAAGATATGCAACTTCATTAGCTTCATCTGTATCACGTGCCCGACGAGCTAAGTTACCAACATAGCTTGACTGAAATCTCCTTTCAACATTTAAAAGCCCATTTCCTGCACAAAAAAAGAAATGGTAGAAAAGAAAGATAAGGAATAATCTTGACATTTCACTTAAATCCAGACAACAGAACACAAAAAAACAATTATGGTTAATCGACATGATGACGTAAAAACTTTTGATATTATAGATAATGTATCTGTACCACCTCCAAACTTGTTAACAGGAAAGTAAGTTTTGCTCAAGAAATTCTTGCACTCTATTAAATCTGATTGATGCCTTGAAACCTGCAACAAAGATGAACAAGGAAGGAATTCATCAAAAGCAGAAAAACAAGCACAACATTGCTGTGGCCAAGTAATAACTCTACTAACTTCGAGTTATGAAAAAAGACATAGAAGAGGGGGCACGAAATAAAAAGAAATGGAATGTGTAATCTAACTAATTTCAACAACTTAATGTACTATAAGTACTGTGTTCCACACATGCATGGATGTAACCATACTTTGTGCATACAAGTGCATACAAACTTAGCAAATCTGTATGCAGCTAGCAAACAGTTCCGAAAACCTCCCATGGTACCAAACTTGATCTACAAATGCGCACACACAATCAAACACAATGGAAGCAATAATAGAGCAATTATGATCGCCCATAACCAACTTTAACTCTTTTTTCTATTCACAATTCTTGTGTTAACTAACCAGAACCATATCAAAACGTCTAGCCAAAACACAAGCCAACGCAGTATACCATGAATTTGTCAAATGCAACTCCCAAAAGCCTCAAAAATTTAAAGCCAAATACAACTTTTTTCCAGAACATCTCTGCTTATAGTAGCAGCAATTATTCACAAAAGACACTGATTTCCATAAGCTCAGGAATATTGTTGCCCTTTGATATCATATTTATACCCTCATTTTATCAATTAAACAAAAGACAAAGCTCTGGGATGTGGCAAACAGTTTCTAATCAATTACGCCTTGATTCAATACTGAATCTAAATATCCCTATGCACTCTAGTTTCTTAGAGCACCAGACTCCATAACCGTTACCAATTAACCAAAATACACTGTATAACACAGGTAGATATTAAAGTTAGGGCTTTTTGCAATCCCAAAAATTGCAATTTCAGAAACTAAAAAGTCCATCCAATAAAAGTATATTAACCTAAACATAATAAAGATAAGAAGCTCTAACTGACCTGAGCGATTAGGCGCCTCCAAGCCATAGCCCGATTAGGGACCAAAAAGGTCTGATCTTTGTTTGCTTCGTTAGCTACTCTTCTATCTCTCGAAATAAAGTATTTACAGTGCGATATAAAGAGTGTCAGGTGTGTTTGGACAGCGATAAAAGGAAGAAAAATGAGAGAATAATGGTCTAGGGTGTAGAGAGATAGAGAGCGCGTGTGGCGGGTTGAGCAGGAGATAGCTTATGGCTCTTCGGGTTGGAGGAAGTCTCGATTTGGGTTTTTGGGAAAATGAAAAATCTAAATTTTGATTAACTTATTTAATTGTCATATTTTTGTATATCACATTTAATATTGATCCAACAACGTGGAAGTGGTTGTCTACCTGCTTCGCTATGTCTAGGATCTTCTGGTATGTGTTCATTGGCTGTTCGGCTTTTTGAAATATCTGTTCTGCGCAGATTTTTATTTATTACTTGGGCCATTAAAAATCTTCCAGTTTCATGAAAGCCCAATCTGGGGCCATCGGATTGTCTTTTTTGGTCGAGACAATTCATCCCAGCCCGTTAAGCCAGCAAACATAGGCATGGAGAAAAACATCGTTATTGGTGGAGGAAGCCAATTTTTTCTAAAATATTGTTACTGTTTTTCTTTTTTTTTTTCTTTTTTTTTTTCAATGAAAGATTGTGTGTGTATATATATATATATATATTCTTTTTATTTATATCATATGTATTCTTAATCCATTAGATTAAATCCAATCTTGCTCGCATAATTTCAAATATAGAAGGAGAAGTGCTTTCAGTAAAAATTTTTTCCATCAGCAAAATTAAAAGTTTGACATCTTGTTTAATGGACCGGAGTACTATTAATCTCCATTATCAACATACTTTTGTCATTATAGAAACTTGTTTTTGATTGATTTGATGTATGAAGCGGCGTCATATACTGGGTGTAATTAAGTGTTATCTAGTTTAGAAACATAGGTACTTAAGACAGCGGGTCTGTTCAGCAAATTAGTTATTTTGGTAGTTGTTAGTTGTTTTAATTGCATTTAGCCGTTAACTATTTTAGTAACTTTTCATAAGACGCTAAAAACTAAATTTTAAATAGGTCAACTTTTTATAAAATCATACATTAACTTTTAAAAACTAGTTCAAATGCTATTTTAGCAAATATTATAAAAAAATAGTATTTAATATTTTAATAAAAATTATTTAAGAAGTTGTTACCGAACAGAGACAGTATCACGTGTGACTATTGATTTTATAACCCGTTATTTTCATTAATGGACGTTGGTTAAGTTATGAAACCTGCAAGGTTACTATTTTGCCCGTTATGAAAATTGTAAAATTGTAAAAAGAAATTTTTGGGAAAGCTTTATAGATAAACCGTTGACAGTTGGTTTCAATTTGCTCATGATTGGAATGCTAAATTTATGGTTTTTGAAACTTCATTTATCTAACTATCAGCATTAGATTTTTGTTTTAGCTTTATACTTAACCATTTTTCAAAACCACCCATGTATTGCACTGACCAATGCAATTTTATTATATTCAAGCTTTATGTATAGAAACAAACAACAAAAGTAATCTTAACGTACTCGGTACTAGGTAGGTAGGGTTAGTAATGGCTCCTCAAAATTTATTTATTGTTTTTATATTATTGGCCTCCCCAATTCTGATTTTAACTTTTTTTTTTCCTATTTTTATTTTTGGACCTTTCAATATGTAAAGTCCATTTCTGCCCCTGTGAGGGATAATCTTAATTATATGTTAAATATTAATTAATATATAATTATTTATTTATTGTTTCTGTACAATTATGTTGAAGTCAACTTTTATTTTTATTTACCGATACATATATTATCTCCGTTCCATAATACTTGTTAGATTTGAAAAAATAGTTTATTCCAAAATACTTGTCACATTTGTGATTTGAAAAGTAATAAATATTTTTTTTCATGCTTATCCTCTGTATATAACCAATAATTATTACTTCAATTTAATAATTTTTTAAGAGAATTAGTATTAAATTAAAGGTAATTTAGTTAATTTACTCAATAATTTCTTATAACTTAAATAAATTTAATGGTTTTCTCAAGCGACGTGAAATTACAGATGTGATGAGAATTATGGAATATTAGAAAAAAAATTGTATTATTTGCTGAAATATAAGAACAATTATTTTCTTACAAGCAAATGTATAATGCCTTGTGCAAATATACTTCAAATTTTCAATTTTAAATTATATTAATCTGTAGTATATATTGAATTTTTATATCTACAGAAAACAGTAAATTTAAATGACTAAGCAAAAAAAAAAAAAAAAAAAAAGCAAAACTGAAAAAGGAATATATATATAATGAAAATGCTAACCTTGCCAAGGTGGCTGGTTTTGGCTCCGTTGCTCATATGTTGAAGAAGAAGAAGAAGAATTAATATGAGCAAAAGCAGCAATATTGGGAAAATCTTTATGAGAAAAAGCTTTTAAACCCAAGAAATCTCTAGTTAACCCATCTTTATGAGTTGCAGATCTATCTTCACTTCTGCTAAACTGAGATTCTGTTGACTTTGATAGAGTTTCTTGAAAAATATTATCATTACTTGCGGCTTTTTTCGAATTCATTAAAATTCCAGTTAACTCTTCATCAAAAGATGACGACACATCAAACCCACTTGCAGAAGACAAACAAGTCATCATATCATGGACAAGAGAAGAAGGCGGTATGATAGAAGCAGCTTTATTCGCAAATGATGTCAAGCCATGACCAAACCCACCTCTTATGTCTTCGCTTGAAGACAAATTGAGACCAGAACCAGCTGTAGACGTAGCTACCGATGTAGAACTAAAGCCAGTGGTAGTTTCAGACATGTGAGCTTTGTGGGGTCTAGAAGATGGAGATGGAGATGGCTTATTGCAGCTCATAGTCACACCCATTTGTGCTGCTTTTTGCAGCAATGCAGTTGCAGACATGTGAGCAAAGGCTACAGGAGGCTGAAATCGAGGGAGACTAAGATTAGGGTTAGGGCTAGGGTTTTGATCATTTTGTAAATATGCTTGATCTAAATTATTAATATTTGTTGGGAATAATTGGGAAAAGTTGGGACCTGCAGGAGCAGCTTCTCCGACTAACCATGGTGGGACATTACTATTGTTATTATTAATAAAAGGACGGTGATGACTTTCTTGCTCCCTTTTGACTGATGATAGGGCTTGCAAATTGATCATATGATTAGAAGTTGAAGAAGAGGAAGGATTTAATGTTATGGCTCTTGCACTCTCTTCTGCTAATGCATCACAGAAGGCTCTGTGTGTGATGAAACTGTCTCTCCTACAATCCAATATTCAAATTAAATTACCAAATAAAAACAAAATTGTATACCTATATGCTATGATGCTATTGCGAACAGTGTCTGTCTCAGTATTCTTATCTTTCTCTTTCTCTCTTTTTCTTTCTTGTCAACTTTTTGTATTGTCTTCTTTTTCCTCTCCAAGAACAACCTCGTGATAGATACAGTAAACTATTTTTCTAGCATAAACCCTCTAAAGATATCAAAAAGAAACCTCTCTTTTTTATCATCCGGGATGCTTTCATCACTACCGGTCAATGTTTAAGCTCGAGAATTTTGTAAACTAGTGTAATTAGCTTAACCATGGAATTGTTAATATATGTATATATATTGATATCAATTACCTAGAGAAAAGGGTTCCGCAATCACATCTATACTCTCTTGTGCCACAAATCTTGGAATGGGCTTTCCAGTCAGATTGAACGGCATAACGTTTAGAGCACTTTTCACACTTCCACTTCTTCTCACCATGCTTTCTGCTAAAGTGTTTTTTGATTCCTGTAAGGTCTCCTAGAGCTCTTGATGGGTCATGATGTACACATGTAGCTTCTGGACATACATATACCTTCTTCCTCACTTCCTTGTTTGTTCTTTGCTTTAACTTCCATGGCAGGTTATGACCTCTTCTATGAAGTTGAAGATTTTGATCTCTTTGAAATCCTTTGTTACAGATCTCACATATAAATCTGTTTGTTGCTAATAGTGTTTTTGGAGACAAAGCTATCACTTCTGCTTCTGGGTCTGCAAATATTCAACACCCAGATATATGTTGCGAGTTTGAATCTTATAACTGAATCTAAATTAAAAAAAGTAACAAAACCCAGATGATAAACTAATGATAGAATTTTTAACTTCCAATAAATTTAATTTAAATTTAAAACCTGGGTTGCCTGGAAGATTTCTCTTCTTCTTTGGTGGAGGTGGTGGGGATTGATTTGATGGAGGAAAAGACTGTTGAGAGTACAAAGTGGAAGTTTCAATTCTGCTACGAGAAGAAGCACTTATTTCACCAGAAGCAGAAGTCAAATTGGAGATGTTCTCATCCATTGCCAAGCCTTTCATCATCTTTCTTTACATATATAATTGAATTACATCACTTCGTGGGCGAGTGACACAAACTACAAGATGCATTGATGGGAGACACAGATCATATACTTTTTTAAGAATCTGGGACAATATGTCCTAAGGATCTGAGTAGAAACCCTAATTTAGTAAGGCCAATATAATAAAAGTGGAAAGTGATAGAGCTACTAGGAATAGCTGAATTCAGCTTCTTTCATAAATTTCACCTGTAATAACTTCCCTTAATTAAAAAGGTTCTTGATTTCTTGTCTTTTTCTTGAAAATTGAGGACCTATATATGCTAGCTCAAGGAACAAAGAAAGAAAAGAAAATTCAATAAAAAAATAAAACAAATTCCTAACAACAAGAAAGGATTCAACACATAAATATGTGAAAATCAATTAAAAAACTGAATTATCCTACATAATGAAAAAAAGTATGTGAAAAACATTAAACATGAGAGAGAGAGAGAGAGAGAGAGAGAGAAGAGACGTGGGGATGGGATGAGGGATTCCTTTGAAGCACTCCATCCATCCAAAAACAAAAACCAAGCTTGTTTCGACGTGCACTTTCTGTCTTTTCCTGTGGTCTCTTTCTACTCCTATAAAAAAATTAAAATACAAATTTCTTTTGTACACACACACACACAAACATATATATATATATATATATATACAAATTGATGTGGGTGGGTTGCTTTAACTAATTACCTTATCAAATCAAATGATTTTTCCCTGCATATCGTAAAATTTTAAACTGTAATACTCAGACCACCTTTCCCTCGCCATGAAAAGTTTCAGTATAAATAATATAAAGATCCAAGTAAAAGGAGAGACTGTGAGATATATCCTATATTATAGTATAACTTTTGGACAGTAAGCCCGCTGAGAGATACTGAGAGAGAAGTTTGATTAAGGAAGATGGTGGGTAAAAGAGTTAAAAAGCAAAACCTCTTTCTTTTCTGTGCACTTCCATTACACAAGCATGATTGGTTCAGTGATTGAACTTAGCAGACATGCTCTTTGTAATTAGTTCTATAATTCTTCTTTAATTCTTTTACAGTTGTTTAGTGTACGTATTTTATATTTTATACAACCAACATTAATTAATTCTTTTGTTTATTCTTTTAACTAAAGATCGTTTACTTATTAGAAAAATAAAATAAAACGTTAAACCTGTCAATTGAATGTCTCATGGTTAAAAATGATAAACAGAATATGTATATACATGAACTTGGTCGGTCCCCAGTGCTGCCCAACCCATCACCACTTGTTTTATTTTTTTGTCTGTTATTGGAGAGAGAGAGCTATTTGGCAATAAGGATAAGGAAGGATGTTGGATTGGATTTCATTTGTTTCCCTCTCTATTTTCCAATTTGAGAAAACCGAAAAGAATCCTAAGAAATGTCAAAGAGAACTCAGGCTTCTTCCTATTTCAACTTACTGCAAAAATCTGAAATTGTAAAGTTTTACACATTACTACACTATATACGTCACATCCAACATGTTTTCTTGATAAACTTTGCATTCGTTAACTACAAAGTGTGATTAGGGATTATTGACCGGGATTAATGGTTAAGAATATAATAATTCGAACAGGCAGTTCAGTAGCAAAAAACACTTATAGGATCAATCATCATGATTTAAGTCGTGAGTTTATTCCTTTATAATGCAAACTCCACCGTGCCAGTTCTTTTTCCTCCGAAAATGAGAATATATTAGTTATAGGACATCGTCAACATGTTTGTTAATATTGTTAGTAGAGCGGTTTCAATTTGTCTTCCCCCTCAATGTATAAATATGTTGGATTAAAAAGTATAGTTTGGTTAGCTTTCATTTGTCATTTTCATCTTTGCATTGTCCATTGTTACATTCCTTTCTGAAATATTTCCTCCACTGTATATACACATGCTCATGCTCATGGGTCACACCTTTTCTTTTTTCTTCTTTTTTACTTAATTGATAGTACTTTTCTACGTTGAAAGCAACTTCTGGTCATGGGTCACTTTAACTTATAAATTGTTTTTTAAGGTTTTAATCTTTTTTTTTTTAACCAAAATTTCAAAAGCTGGGCTTTTAATATGTTCGTGATAATATCATCTATATATAAAGTACAATAAAGAATATAATTATTGTTGTTTGGTAATCATAATTAATATATATAATTACCACACTAATCATGATATAAAATCTTATTTATTATCATGTGGTCCAGCAAGTTGTTCACCATATCACTTTTGTTTCTTTCTCTCTCACATTTTCTTGGATTGAGGTTTTTTGTGGTCTTGGCTTTATATATAGGGAGAGGGGATATATAGCAATAGGGGTGTAAACGACCGTTCGTAACCTACTCGGGACTCAGCTCGGTAAAAGCTTGCTCGAGCTCGTTCAATAAGCTTATCGAACTCACGAGTTAGCTCAATAAGACAAAATTAGTTAAAATTTATATTAAAACGACGTCATTTTGGTTAATAAATTTCGAGCTCGAGCTCGAGTATATTCTTATTGAGCTGAATTCGAGCTCACTAAAACTTGGCTCGGCTCGTTTATAGCCCTATGTAGCAACACCGAGATCTAGAGAGCCAGGACCCCCTCAAAAATTTAATTTTCTTCCCTTTAAATTTTGTTTATATTTATAAAACTATATCTATTAACCTTTCAATTTTATTTTCAGACTCCATTTTTTTCGAACCATAACTTATCTTTTTTTTTTTTAAAGAAATTATTTTTCAAATAAATCGGTTCTATTATCTGGTTATAATATTGAAAATTAATTTGAAAATATTAAAATTTTAAATATTACTATAAAAATTGCATATTTTAATAATTCTTTATTAGTATTTTTCTTAAAATTACTTAGTTTTTCTTTGATTATGATAATATTTTCGTTGACTAATCTTATTAGCATTTCAAATATTGAAAAACCTGAAAAATAACTTTTACACAAGTTATTTTCTAAAAATAAATGCAGCTTTAATTCTTTATTTTGTTTTTATTTTTCTTTTTGGACCCCGAAAGTAACATTCCTAGCTAGAAAGTAGAAACAGCGCATGCCAATGGGCTTTCATTCTCTGCTTCGACTACATTTGCTAAGATGCGCCTAAAACCAATAGAACATCTCGAAATCGGAAAACCACATTAATGATGGGCCCATTCGAGAACGGCCCAAACTACCCAATGGCGCGGTTTTTGTAAGTTGCGGGAAGATTAATTAAACTGAATTAAATCAGACCAAATCACATCTTTCTTTATTCAATAATAATTTAATTTACAAAAATTTTAAATTTTTTTCTTTATTTTTCTAATTTTTAATTTTTGTTATTGTTCTATATTTGATTGAATAATGTTTTTTAAGTTTAATAATTTATTCATAATAATTATGACTTTGAAGACCTAACCATATTATGTATCATTAAATATTGAGAGATCAATATAGTATTTTTGAAGTTTGGTTCCTGTCTATTCATATCTATATATTAAAGTCGAAATATAAAAAAAAAAAAAATTAAAATTTAGCACTTATTATGTGATATTTTATTTTTGTTTTTAGAATTTTTATTTTCTTATTTTATTGTTTCTGTTAATAGAACCACTTAAGGATGTTTTTTATGACTATGGACAACAAACATAAACTGACATTTATTTCAAAACATGGATTGTCAAGTTTGCTTCAGCACTTGTTCTTCCTTTTATTATGTTTTCTTGCAGATATCTGCTCAGTCATAAACATTGATTTATTATCTTTGATGTAAAGCTCTTAAATATTACTACAAACAAAAATTTCCAAGTGTCTGGTAGACCAATTAGGCTTATCCAAATTGTTAAGGACTTATTGGATTATTTCAGTGATCGCACTTGCGCTCTTTCATCGTCTTCCTCAAGATGGCAGCAAGTTTTGTTCTTGGATTGTTATGTCTTCTGTTTATTAATGGAGTTAAAACTGTGCCATCACACCAAGAAGTCAAGAATTTTCAATCTCAAACTTTTGTAGCGCCAGAAACCCAGCCTTATAGAACTTCCTACCACTTTCAATCTCCGAAGAACTGGCTTAACGGTATGTTTCTTATCTTGGCATGTCGGTTTAGCCTTTCTTAGTGTGTGTGTATATATATATATATATATATATCTTTTATTGCTGGAATCCATTTAATCTCTGTTTTTATCATTTTTATATGCTCTGGTGGTTGACGCACATAAGGGTGTCTCTGATTCTGCAGATCCCAATGGTAAGTTTTCAAATTTTAGAGTTTGTGATTTTATTGATTTTTGCAAATAATTTCATGATGTTCATCCATTTACTGCAGGCCCAATGTGGTATAAGGGATTTTATCATCTTTTTTACCAATACAATCCCCACAGTGCTCTATTTGGTAATGGTATGGTATGGGCACACTCTGTATCAAGTGACTTGGTCAATTGGGTTCATCTAAATCATGCCCTTTACCCATCAGAACCATTTGACATCACTAGTTGCTGGTCTGGTTCTGCTACGATCCTTCCTGGGGATATACCTGTTATTTTATACACTGGTATTGATGCCAATAATACACAGGTCCAAAACTTAGCAATACCCAAAAATCTTTCTGACCCATTTCTTGAAGACTGGGTAAAATATTCTCAAAATCCTCTCATGACTCCACCTGTTGGTGTTGAAGCTGACAACTTTAGAGACCCAACAACTGCTTGGTTGGGTCCTGATGGGAAATGGAATGTGATTGTTGGAAGTTGGAGCAATAATCAAGGAATGGCAATTTTGTATCAAAGTGGAGATTTTATTAATTGGAGGAAGTATAAAGATCCACTTTATTCAACAGAAAGATCTGGGATGTGGGAGTGTCCAGATTTCTTTCCTGTGTCTATTAATGGCACAAATGGTGTTGACGCTTCAGTCCTAAATCCAACTGTGAAGCATGTTTTGAAGGCGAGCTTCAATTCTCATGACTACTACATGATAGGAGCTTATGTCCCTGAGACAGAAAAATATATTCCTGACTCTGATTTAACAGGTACCGTAACAGATTTGAGGTATGACTATGGAAAGTTTTATGCTTCAAAGTCGTTCTTTGATAGTGTCAAGAATAGAAGGATATTGTGGGGCTGGGTAAATGAGTCTGATACCCCAGATGATGATATCAAAAAAGGATGGTCTGGACTTCAGGTGAGTTGAAATAACTGGAAATTCACTGTCTGTTTTATAGTTTAGGCATTGGTCAAATTTAGAGCTCTGCAATTTAAGGAAAGAGTTTAGCTCAATTAGTTGAATCGATATATTTATTGTACTACTTTTAAATGTTTGTGAATGAATATGTTTTGGTGGACTTATATTTCTAATTTTGACACTCACGGAATAATACATTCATGAACCTAAGTGTTATATGGAACTTGCATTGCAGGCAATTCCTAGGCAAATATGGCTTGATAGAAGTGGAAACCAATTAGTACAGTGGCCAGTGGAGGAAATTAACAAATTACATGATAAGCAAATTAATATCGAAAATAAGATACTTGATAATGGATCAACATTCGAAATTCAATACATAACTGCTTCACAGGTGAGTACTTTGAATTCCATTGGGCATTAAAAAGAAAAAGTAGATTCCAATTATCATTTTTATGATCCAGTGTTCTTTTTTTCTTCCCTTTCTTTTATGTCATTACTAGGAAGTTGAATTTCTTGCAATGGTTATACTTATAATCGGTTCTTCCTCATATCTTTAAAAGGCAGATGTAGAGATTGTATTTGAATTGCCAGAATTAGAAGAGGCTGAGTTCTTCAACCCTACTTGGGTTGATCCCCAAAAAATGTGTACAGATGCAAATGCAGCTGTCAAAGGTAGATTGGGGCCATTTGGTTTGTTAGCTTTAGCAACAAAGGACTTGACAGAGCAAACTGCAATATTCTTTAGGATTTTTAAAGGTCATAATGCATATGTAGTACTTATGTGCAGTGATCAAAGCAGGTTTGAATTAATCACTTTTGTTTCTCTTTCACAACCCAAATGTTACATGATTTGACTTTGAACTAATGAAAACAAAAAATGTGCTAATAGGTCTTCTCTAAGAGATGAGGTTGATAGAACCACATATGGAGCTTTTGTCAACATTAATCCCCAACATGAAAAGATTTCATTAAGAAGCTTGGTGAGTTAATTATTTTCATCCAATTAATGTTTGCCTTTTTATGTGATGTCTTGTTCATCTTTTGCAGATAGATCACTCGATAATTGAGAGTTTTGGTGGGAAAGGTAGAACTTGTATTACCAGCAGAGTTTATCCCAAGTTTGCTGTTAACAAAGATGCTCACCTGTATGTATTTAACAATGGAACTCTGAGTGTCACAATCTCAAGGTTGAATGCTTGGGGAATGAACAAAGCTGAGATCGAGAATAAAGAAAGTTTTAACGCATTATTTTGAAATGTGATGCTGCCTACATGGCATCAGCAGTATATCTCAGTCATAAATGTCATGAAAGGCAATTGATGTAAGATCTTCTGTGCTCCAGGGATCTGTTGAAAAAAGATGTGGTCATTTGTGCTAATCTACCCTCTAGATCCTCTAGTATATTTTCATCTTTAACCATTCGATGGCTTTGGGGTTTTTGTTCTTGGAGAACACCAATGCAATTCAATTTAAAGTTTGTATTTCAGCAGTAAGAAAATTTTTATCATTGAACCCAACAAACAACTGCAATAAAGCTAGGCAATTTATTGTTTGCTCAAAAACTTATTTCAACAAGAAGGAAATTTTATCATTGAACCTAATAAACAACAAAAAAAATATTGTGATCCCTTCTTGTTCATGTGGTTAACCATATAGTAATTGTGCTTATGAGCCTTCTATGTTGAATTCTGCATATTTTAACATATGCAGATGATTTCCGTTTGATTTTCCTTCAAAAATGGAATTATTCATGCATTCTCTATCTCAATGTGGAATTGAACTCATTTTACTTTTGGCATTCAACAGTGAGTAGCTTGTTACTTAAGAGAAGGTGCTTTTATAACTGTAGGTGACAGAATCAAATACTGATTTCCTGATTCAAGTTTCAGGATGTACTAAAATCTTGTTTTTGTCCTTCGATCCTCCAATAAAAACAGCTCAAAAGACATGCCATATTAGCCCCTGAGGAGTCTTTAAATACGTGCCTTTTCTTGTATTCTTAATGTCTATCTTGATCATAATTTCGACCCCGCATTTGCATTAAAATATTGTTTTATAGCAAGCTGAGTTAGACTACTGTATTCATGGAATATTTTGTTTACAGCTAATTGTTTTATAGTTATATTAACATCCTACTCAAATACCCAATTTTCTATTGTTTTTTGAGACTTTGTCTCTTTATCTTTTAACTTTCCACTTGAATTTTTATCAGGTCTTCTATCAGAATAAGGTTAGCACTTAGCAGAACCAAATGTGGTGCTCTGCTCTCACCAACAGGGATTCTCATTTTGTAAAGAAATTTCTTTTGTTCAACTTTAAACTTGCTGTGAAAAGTAGATAATCATCAAGACACAATATGGTCTTCAAAACTAAAGTTTATCAAAGAATGAGAATGTACAAAATGTTGGGAAAAACCAAATAGGCAAAACAATGTATGCATAATTATGGTAATTAGCCCAATCATTTAAATGTGCTAATTACCATGGTAAATGAAACAGATTTAGATTGTGAGTTGATGAAATTCTTGAATTCTTGTATTATCGTCCTCTTCATTGTTTTACTTGCAAAGTGTCTAACTTTATGGTGATACTTATATGTCCAATCAGGATTTTTTGTCAGAGAAAGGCTTGACAGAACCAGACTGGTGCTCTGCTCTGAGCCTCTCACCAGTATGGATTCCCATGGAGTAATTATTTTGACAAAAACTTTATTATATTCTCTGATATGATGCAATTTGTCTTTTTAACTCTTTATTCTTTTGTATATAGGCCATTCAACAGAAAGTTTTGGCGTTGAAGGAAGGAGTTGAGTAATTGACAATCAACCCCACTTCTCTATCCAGTCAAAAATGGTAGGCCTTGTTCAAAGAACTTATAATAATAAAATAAACTTCATTTTCTGCATTGTCCCTCCCATTGCAGAGTGCAGACAAGCAGTTCGATATTCATTTAAACCGTTTTCTGATTTTCGCAAATGGGTCGAGCTGTCATCAGACTACAAGATCAAAGGGCTTGGACCGACGACTATCTTGTAATGAGTCGATATGGTGAACTTGAGTTTAAGTCGGCTAATAATCGCAATATTGTATATTTTTATATAATCTCTAAAAAAAAAAAAAAGAACCTTTTGTCAATTCCCAACTTTGAAATAGATTATCTACATATACGCACGCAATCATCTGATAATCTTTTGTCCACTCATTTATGGATATGAAAACTGGACATGAAAATGATGCATGCTTTGATATTTTACTAACATTAGTATCACAATTAACAAAAATTCCATACAAGTACAACTATAAATATTAGAATTCATTCTCAAAAATCAAAAAGGATTTTAGCTATGGAATAAGATTCTGCATACAATGAACATGTTATAAATAAAATTATTTTCTTTGAAAAATAAATTCTAGAAAGTAGAAATAGCCCATAACATAGACTGGGGAAGCTTCATAGAGTTGCCCTATTTGAAAATGAATAGCGTAGCTTAAAAAGTTCGTTATTTTTCTATTCTCTCCCAAGAAACTAAAACCAACTATACAGAGAAAAGAAAAGGAGAAAGATTATCAAACCTTCTCTGATCTCAAGTTTCGATCGTCGATTATATACACAGAGAGATAGGAGAGAAAGGGATCATTTTTAAGGCGTTTCAGGACCTGAAAACCTCTAATCAAATGATTGCAGCAAGGTTATTGAAGAGTAGTGTCGCTCCCAAATGTTAATGTGTAATCATCGACTCTACCGGAAATACACTTTTTTGGTATTTACCCATCAAGAGTTTTGAAAAATGAGAGTGCTTTAGGGATTAGGAGGATATAGAAATATATAAATTCTATTCCATTATCTGTTTGTTTCCCCTTGAGAGGAATTTCTCAAAAGAATGAGCAGAGATGATGACGACCCAGGAGAACAGAGCAATGAAAGAAAACCACTCACAAAATCAAGGCCCTACAAATGGCTGACCAACTTCCAAAGAGATCTGATGGCGGGTGCGGTTATGGGAGGTGTGGTACACACCATCGTAGCCCCAATTGAGCGAGCCAAGCTGTTGCTACAGACTCAAGAGAGCAATCTGGCAATTGTGGGTAGTGGCCGAAGGAAATTCAAGGGCATGGTGGATTGCATCGCGCGTACGGTTAGGGAAGAAGGGGTTCTTTCTCTCTGGCGAGGCAATGGCAGTAGCGTCCTTCGCTACTATCCTTCTGTGGCACTCAATTTTTCTCTGAAGGTAATTTATCTCGTTAATTTTATTCTGTGCATGTAAGGTGTTTGATAAAATGTCAGTGCGAAAGGAATAGGTGAGGAGTACTTTCGAGTGCAAGTTTCCACAGTCGTCAGTCGCTGAGCAATTCTTATTTATTGATGGTCAAGTGATGGTCAAGTGTCGAGGTTCTAGCTTTTCTGTGAACCGGACATGACTTGTAATAAGTTGCGCAAAGAGGGAAAAAAATAAAAAAAACCTACTACCTATCAATTTTAAGCCTCGACAGTGCCTGTAATGTGTGTAAGGCCAATCTTGGACTGCTTTTCCTTCTGGTATAGTTCCATAAAAGTATTCTTTTGGCAAACTGTAAATCTACATATACTCATAGAAACCTCAAAGTCTCTACAGAAATCACTTGACCTTCTTGACAAGGATAGCCTTCCTACCCGTGGAAATCTGTAATAGCCTCAACACTTCTTTTCCCTTCCTGTCCTTATTGAAGCTGTTAGATAATCTCTTGCGCCTTCATTTGGTTTTTTTTTTTTTTTTTTTTTTTTTGTATATTCATTTTTTGAGATTGGTGGGTTACTTAAAGAATGGGCTAAAAGTTATTCTGTGATAGATGATTATCTAGAATAGGGAACTTTTATGTATGATATGAAAATTTTTATGGAGGTGTCCGATGGCAGTGTTCAGGCCTTAATGGTAAAACTGCTAAGTTTTGTGAAAGTAATCGTTCAAAGGGGTACATAGTCTGGTTACTGGTTTAGGGTGGTTTAAAAGAATTTTAAATCAAACTGTAAAATAACAGTTTGCAAATTCTCCAAACTGAACTGAGCTGCTTTAGTTATAAAATTGAACTAATAGATGGAGCATGTGAAAGTTTCTATCAAGATGTGGAATAAAATTTCCAATTATATCATACGAAAGGTGCCAGGGAAATTTCACAAAAATATTTATCTTAAGATAAATAATGGTATGAGAAGTAGAGGAATTGGTTATATTGAAATAAAGGACTGTTTAGGAGTATACTGGAGCAAATTGGAGGAATTTTCAATTCATATATTGCAAAATATGGTCCTAGACAGAGTAAAGTTGTTTGGAAAAGATCTCGCTGCTTAATAATTGGCAGTAGAGTTAAGTGTTTTATGAATGATAACACAACAATATGGCTGTAAAATTTGATAATTAACACAGCAGTTGGTTTTGGAGAAATTCTCAGAATTTGATTCAGGAATAACAGATAAATATAAATAGAATGAAATGTTTAGATGTTCATTCTGGAATTAAAATGTCACAGGCAATTAGTATTAATGTCTAAAACGAATGTTTGACATAATAAGTTGTTATTCAAGAGATAGTTAGACACAGTGGCACTCTGGGAAAATTATCAATTGTTCTTTAGCAAGGAATGATCTGAAAATGACCCAATGAATTTTAGGAATAGCTCTTCATTAAAGGTTATGCTATATTGTTTAAGATACATTAAAGACAAGTAGTTAAATGGAAGTTTAATTTAAGCATTATTTGACTTGAGAAGATGTGAAAGGTGATACTGAATGTCTTAAAGGCTAATAAAGCATTCCACCTGTTTACAAGTGAAATCCTTTTAGGGTTTAGTAATGCTCATTTAGAATTGGTGATACGAGAGCGAGCAGAACCTTTTTCTTTGTGCATGAAGTTAGTTGCTCCCCATGCTGTATCAGCTTATTTCAGGACTGACCCTGGGGGGATGGGTTGATAGAGCTGATTTCATGTTCAACTTAAATTTTGGGATATTGAAACTGAAGTTTGACTTGGAGAAAGTAATTTAGTGGCCACTCGATAGCCAATTCAAAACTATCAATGTTCATGACAGAAATAAATCTACAAAAATGTGATCAAACATGATAAGATGTTTGAGAACCAATTTGACTTGGAACATTGAACTACTTGATGCTGCGATCAGTGATGTAAAAGTTCCAAGCAAATCATTCCAATCTTTATTTGGTCATCTTATGTTATACTGCAATGATTGTATGGTCTTAAAGTACTACTTTGCCTGCAGGATCTATATAGAAACATGTTGAGAAATGGCAACCATCAAGACGGTCATTTCTTGTCTGGTGCATCTGCCAATTTCATTGCGGGGGCTGCAGCTGGCTGCACAACGCTAATCTTAATCTATCCACTTGATATTGCACACACCCGACTTGCTGCTGACGTAGGAAAAACAGATGTTCGTCAATTTCGAGGGATCTACCATTTCCTATCTACCATATGCAAGAAAGATGGGATTCGAGGAATTTACAGAGGGCTTCCTGCTTCTTTCCATGGGATGATAGTTCATCGGGGACTATATTTTGGGGGCTTCGATACAATTAAGGAGATGATGTCTGAAGATGCTAAACCTGAATTGCCGTTATGGAAGCGCTGGGTGGTGGCGCAAGCAGTCACAACATCTGCTGGATTGTTGTCATACCCATTAGACACAGTTCGGAGGCGGATGATGATGCAATCTGGCATGGAACAACCAATGTATCACGGCACTGTTGACTGCTGGAAGAAAATTTACAGAACAGAGGGAGTGGCTGCATTTTATCGCGGGGCACTGTCGAATATGTTTAGAAGTACTGGGGCTGCCGCCATATTGGTTTTGTATGATGAGGTGAAGAAATTCATGAAGTGGGGTGGATTGTAACAGGAAGCTTTTCTATTTTGTTTACTTTTTTTTTATTTTTAACACGAGAAGACTAGAGTAGAATGAGGTTATGTTAAGAGCATTACAGAAGGAAAATCTTGTAAAGTGCAGAAAGAGTTCTACACAGCTAACATATAAACACATGTCCTAGCTGAAGTTGGTTTGCCATATCACCTTTTGAAGCTCTGGCAATTCACCCTTTGATTTGATTTTATTTATTTTTTTGTCAACAAATAAAGAACAGAATGTGGTTAATTAGTCTACATGGGTTTCTATACAATTGATCCTCTTATTGTTAATCTTTGAGCTGTATTCCTATTTGGGATAGTGTTATTTTTGGTACCTGTACTCTTGTCTTTTCTTTCTATTATGGTGTATGAATGCGAAATTATGAGATTGAGTGTCTAGATTTACTTTTTTTTTTTTTTCTTTTCAATTCCGTATCTCTTGATGATATGGACAAATGGAATATCTAAAAGAGACTAAGTGAGATTCACATATGCATCCTTTTATGTGGCTTGACATTTAATCCGTTTAAACTGTTAAATGTGGAAATGACGCTGATATATAATCCATGTAACCCTTGAACTAGATTTTTTTATTTTAAATGGATTTTAACCTGTGATGAGAATTAAAAGCTGTGATCTTGCCATCTATTTAGCATTTACTAGTTAGATTGAACTTTAATAATACTTGTAGTAGTGGTGGAAACTAAAATAAAAACAACAATAACACAACTGAATTATTGGAGAAAAAATTATGTCAGTAGTGGTGGGTTCATATTAGATGGCGGAAAAGAACAAGGGAAAGAAGAATATACCATGGGCTCCAATGAAAAAAAAAAAAAAAAAAAAAATCAATCTGTTAATATCACAAAAAATGTTAAATTTCGTTTTCTAACCAATCAAAAGGAATCTATTCATACAAATTAAATAAAATGCAAGAAGTGAAATTAAATATTCTTGTAATTTGATTTCCAAAGAGAAAAAATTCATCATCTATAGATTTATCAACCAGTCCATGATGTTATTTTGTTCGAAACTGTTTAGTTTCAGTTTTTTTTCCTCTCTTTTTTGAAACAGAAGGTTATAGATTGATGTATGTGGCAGTTGGTGATTGGCTGGCCAACTATCTGGGGAAGGCATTAACTGGAGGGTGGAAATGACACCAATACAAGGGTTGGAATGGTAGGGCAAGTTCGTTTTTTTTATAAGTCAATGAATCAAAATATTATTATAATAAAAATAGCGTATCATTTAATTAATGAAATTTTTTAATATTACAAAAGTGATTCAGTACACGAAATATTATATATTTGTAAATTTGGAAGAGAGTTATTTGTAATATTAAAAATATTCTGTTTGATCTAAAAGTCATAAATTCGAATCAAATGGAGTAATTTTTAATATCATAATAAATAAAAAAAAGTTCTTCATTTTAATAATTTAGTTTTAAATTTTTTTTTTAAATATTAGAATCAATTAAATTAGTTCTTTTTGACACAAGAGTGTATGGTTTACAGTTAAAACCAAAATTTGGAGGTATTATTATAAAAATTGTGCAGGTAAAGTGGGAGCCCCATAAATAAATAAATAATAAAGAAAAGGCAAAGGCAAGTGAAGCAAACCATGACTTCACCAATTTAAAAAAAGCAAAAAAAAAAAAAGAAAGAAAGAAAATAATATGCTTTTGCAACTTTTTTTGTCTTTGGAATGAGAGAGAGAGAGAGAGAGAGAGAGAGAGTTTTAGGCAAAGTGAAAACCTCAAAACCCTACCATTAAGGAACTTTCAGTGGGGTACTTTGGATTTGCCTAATTCTCCCCTTTTTCGTTTTTGCTCTTATAAAAATATTAATTATGTCTAAACAAAACACAAAATGGGTTTCAAATTAAGAAATAGTTGGACTTTATTTATTATTATTTTAATGTTTTTATAGAGAGAAAGAATCTACTTGTGATTCTTCTTACGGTAGGATGTAAAGATTCTGGATGGGTCCCAGAAGTAGTGTTACATCAAGACCATTGCATGTCTGCCATGTGTATTACTTAAGTAAATAAATAAATAAATAAATAATAAAAAAGTGAAACCGCACTCTTATTACTATTAGTTATCATTATTAGTAGGATCGTGGTTGCAAAAATTGGAAATTGTGGTTGTGGTTTGTTGATGTTATTGTCATCATCACTTGTGGGTTGTCTTTTCCAAGCCCAAAGGAAATGGGTCCCATTTACCTTTAAGTGGGTTTAAGTGTTTTTTTTTTTTTTTTTGGTCCCATTTTACGCTTTAAGTGGGGTTTAAGTGTTTTTTTTTTTTTTTTTTTTTAAATTATTATTTTTTTTTTTTTTTTTTTAATTATTATATAATTAAAATATATAATAAGTGATCTTATAAAATATACCCTTAATTAACTTTACTTTCATATTAATCATAATTAACCCGAATCCCTTCTTTTACCTTAATTGGAAAAGATCTTTCAAAGAGTTATTACCACCTTTGATTATCAATAAAATCTCTTAGAATTGATTTTAGAAAAGGATATATATACACATTTATGTAGGCTGACTCCAAATTGGAGACAATCGATGAATATTCTATTAATTGAATTTATTATTATTATTATAGTATGACTGAGGGAGGGACAATTGATAAGATATAAACATTATCATAAATTAACTGATTTAATACATAAATTTAGAATAAGAAACCAATGATTAAGCGAAAGCAATCTATAGATATATGAAGTAAAATTCGTAATTTAACTTAATGTAATTAACTGTAATTGGTAAAAAAGTAGGCACCAGGCAAGCACACAAAAAGTAATGTTCCACGTGGCCATCGATAAGTGTAGGGAGGGTCACAATCCAAAAATAACTGGATGGAGGAAATATGAGGCTGTCAGGTAGTTGAAGGTGCAGCCAAGCCATACCACGACAGACAGTCCCCTTGCACAAAATGTCTCATGGCATGCTGACAAATTTTGCCTCCATAATTTTAAGCACTCTTTTTTATCATTTTCCCAAAATTGAACCATCTAAAACCACAAACACAAACACAAACTCATCCAATAATTTCTACCACTTCAGTTACACGTACATATATTAGTTTCATTTTAGAATCATTCTTATGCGTCCATATGACATATAAAGGAACAAAACAAAACTAAAATGATTAAATTTTAATATTAGGGACCCTTTAGCAAAATTAGCTATTTTGATAACCCATTAAGTGTTTAAATAATTTTTTATAAAACATTAAAAACTACAAATTAATTGAGTTAACGTTTTATAAAACGTTATTTTAATCTCTAAAAATAATTTAAACGCTACTTTATCCGACACTATAAAAAATAATCTATAATTAGAACGCTGAAAACTACTTAAAAAAAAACTGAATTCGGCTCAAATGTCAATCCGCTCAAACCATTAGTGCTTCTTTCAACATTCTTTATTCTTATTCTTATCCCATGGTTTCTCTTAAAACATTCAAGTTGAATTGATTTCTCACCCCATGTTTAATGTCTCTTAAAGTAGTATTTTCTTTCACTTTCTTGTATTGAATTCAACTTAATCTTTTAATACTCTTATCAAAAGAAAAATCTTTAAAAGAAATGGAGATCAATTAAAAATTACCATGAAATAGTACTTCTTCTTCTCCTATTACTTTAGAAGTAGGCTCAAAAATCATATAATAGAGTAATCCAGAAAAAAAAAAAAAATGTGTATAAGTATGAGATGGTAAAAGGTCAAATGGAAAAGCGAGGCATGATTTTAGAAGATTACCTTTGCAATAATTGCAAAGAATTTTATCAGAACATCTGACAGTGCCACTCAACCTCGTCATTGTCATCAAATGCTCCCAAAAATTTTTTCTTTACCCTTACCTAAAATCAATCTATACTTAACCATTTAACAACTCTGCCCACCAAGCCAACACAAAAACAAACCCAGAGAAAAAAAAATCAAATACATCCAACGGCTTTGATTGCTCAATTATTGGTCTTGGATTGGACCCCACCTTCTACTTTGATTCTTTCTTTCTTTCTTCTAGTCTAACCAGATCAATTTCAATCCCCAATAACAACAAAATCTATTCATAATTTAATTTTAATTGATGATCTCTAATGGAATTAAAAACAGATAATTAAACAAGCATACTAGGGCATAATCATGGACACTTTTCTTCTTCTTCTTCTTCTTCGTCTTCATCTTCTTCTTCTTCTACTACTACTAATTAATCAAATGGCCCATCTCTATCTTTCAGTATTTGACCATCAAATAGTGAACAAGATAATAATTAAACAGAAAAGTTATTCCTGCCTAGCCAATTTATCTCCACTTACAGTAATAGAGAAAATCCCAAATCTAACATTAAATTACATATTTTCGATCTTCTTTTTGGCTTTTTTAAGTTGTATATTTTATGATGAAGATGATATATCATATGATATAGAATATCATACCCACAGAGCGCCAACTTCGACGAGTTTGGGGACGAGGTGGTTGCTGAGGTGGAGAGCGACGAGAGACTCGAGGCCACCAACGCAGGTTCCGCCAATGAAGAGGGCGGGAACGAGATTGCGAGGCGAGTCGCTGTCGTGAGAGGGAGGTGGTGGCGGAAGAGCGGAGATCTCGTTGTCATCTAACTCGATGACGGTGGGATGAACACCGACGGTGGCGAGTAGCTTCTTCATGACGTGGCACATGCAACAAGAGGATCGAGAGAATATGATGACCGGATGTTCCGATATAAGGCGTTGGATTCGCGTCTCGGCGGATTCAGCGGCGTCGATGGATAGAGAAGAGGAAGAAGAGGAAGAGGAGGAAGAAGCAGAAGAGGAGTTGGTGGCGGTGCTAGTTGGAGGAGGAGGAGGAGGAGTGAGGTCGAACCGGACGACGTCGTTGGAACAACGTCGTAGTCCTTGCATCGCCAGTTAATAAGTTTTGTAGAGAGAGAGAGAGAGTGTATCTGGGAGAGTGTTGATGTCAACGGGGCCAAGTGGGAGTATTGAGGGGAGGAGCTTATTATTTATAAATGAGAGGAGGGTGAGGGTGGGGTTGCTTACATCACAAAGTACTGTATTGCATTTGCACTGCTTTTTTTTTTTTTTTTTTTTTTTTTTTTTTTTTTTTTTTTTAGAGGAGCGGTGGAGGGTGGGGCGTGCTTACATCCACACACAGTACTTTGCCATTTGCACTGCTTTTTTTTTTTTTTTCTTTTTTTCTTTTTATTTTTTAAAAATTTTTTATTTTTTTTTTTTTTTTTTTTTTCTTTTTATTTTTTTATTTTTTTTGTTGGGATCAATGCTTGTGGGATTGTTTTCCACTTTTACAGCCCACGCGCTAATAGTATAATAAATGCGTACGTGTCATGCTACAAAATCCGAGTGAGAGAGATGGGATGGATGGGCGTTGGGTAATGGTTCTTTTTCTTTAATGCTGATTCAATTTCAAAATAAGCATGGTATTTTTAGGTCCGCATATCATTAATAGAGTTAAAAAGAGAAAATACTCTAGAGATAAATGCATTGCTCTTTAATTTGGAAATCAGAAAATCCCTTTCATGTTTTAATATACTTATTTATAATACAATTTAGACTGTAATTGACCGCATGACATATATAGTAAAAATCTTAACTATGAATGACAAGTAAAAATCTCGGTACTTTAATGACTCTGTTTGACTGAACGTTACATTGAGCGTTACACTTATTCAAATGAGATTAAATATTATTCGGACTTGACTAATTGCTCGGCCTCTTGTGTTGCTCGGACTTTGACTTTGCTCAATTCAGATCCTATTCCTATCAATAATTAATAGTTTAAATTCTATAAAAATTAATTTATAAAATGTCTATTTTTCTTTATAATTAAATTAAAGGAGTAGTTAAAATATACTTATATTATGAGTAGAATATTAAATAAATAAAGGTCAATTAAAAAATATTAAAAATCATTATTTGTCCCCAATTTAATATTATTACCTTGTAATAATAATTTATTTGAAGGCCACTATTTTATGGAAAAATTCAATTTAATTGTTTTGTCAAATACATGATGTTCTATATATGAAGACATAGTTTATGTATGACATGATAATATATTTTAGGTTCGAATTTTCCTTTTCAATATTATTTTTTATTTCAAATTAATCATGATTCTAGATTGAAAAACCAGTTCCCATAGTTTTGATTCTACAAAATAAGAACTGAAACTAAATAATAATACAAAATTATGATTATAATGTAAAATTAAGAATTATTAAATGCATTTTAATTTTGATTTTGACTAATTTAATTTTTATTTTGTTTCAATTTAAAATCCAAGCACGGTCATGCCTATCAATAGTTTTAATCGCGATAATAACAAAAGCTTGAAAAGGGCAGGAAGAAAGAGAGATTTTAATCTCACTTTTATAATAAACACTTAAAAAAAAAAAAAAAATGACGATAATAACACAAAAGGCTTGAAAAGGGGGCCAGGAAGAAAGAGAGACTTTTAATCTCACTTTTATACATAAACACTTAAAAAAAAAAAAAAAATCAGTCAGACTTTTGTAAACTAATTTTAAAAAAAAAAAAAAAATCAGTCAGACTTTGTAAACTAATAAGGGAAGAAAGAAATGTGAATGCTTTGGGCGTGAAGTTCACGAGGGAGGAAGACCGTGAGAGGGCCAAAATCTGTGGTCACGTAACAAGGTGGTTCGGAAATACAGGACATTTGCCGGAGGAGAATCGTGGAGCAGTCACATGGGGATGAGGCGTGGTGGTGATTATATAGTAAATGAACCTTACGTCACATTGACTTAGACGTGGAACCACAAGATTGAACCGTGACGTTACCAAAAGACCCTATTGTCCTCCTAATGCACACAGCAGTAGTTTACCCTATCTTTTTCAGAAAAGAAAAAATAAATCGAAAAGAAAAAACTGACGTGGACTAAACTGCTGTGATTGTGGGGACCGGGGCTCATGATTCATGACATAATCATCGGAATGGAATTACACTTTCCTCGTCATCCTGACGTTCCCTGATCGACACGTGGCGTTTGATTTAAACTTTCCTTCAGGCATGGAGATTGTGGGCTTCGAGAGTGGGCCCAATTCCACTTTTGGGTCTGCATGAATCTAGCCAATGGAGGAAGTCCACGTGGACGTGGGTTTGTCATCATGCGATGATAGAGTGGTGATTGGGTGGGAGCTTTTGGGGGTGGACCCTACCGTCATTAATCTGAAGTGAAGGATGGGTTAAAGATGGACCGTTGATGGTGGCAAATATGGTGTCTGCCACATGGTTGTGATGCATGAGTTGGGAAGGATTGCATCACCATCTTAGAGGAGCCAAAAGCTCACACTGTCCTCTTTCGTAATTTTGTTCTCCAAAACACAATTATCACTCCCAACAACACCTATTTATACATGTAATTTATAATTCTTCATACTATTATTCGTATTTATGATAATTATTGTGTAATTTTAGTTTATTATATGATTTGTAATCTCTGCGTATTCGCATTTTAAATTCTTTATGAGCCACAAAAAAAAAAAAAAAAAAAAAAAAAACTACATTGCATTGCGTACTATCGTAACTTAATACCTGCATAATTCACGAATATCTAATAGTATGCAAGCAATTACTCAAATTACATGTACCTACAATAGGTGTTTTGGGCAGTGATAATTGTCTGTTTGGAGGAACAAAAATTACGCAAAGAGGACAGGTGAGGGGCTTTTTTGGCCTCACTCCCTAAGCATTGGTGATGCAATCCTTCTCCCAACTCATGCATCACACACCATGCTGGCAGACACCATATTTTGCCACCATCAACGGGTCCAATCTTTAACCCATCCTTCCACTTTCAAGATCTACAATGGACGCGGCTTAGGGTCCACCCCCAAAAAGCCTTCACACTGGTCCTCTTTCGTAATTTTGTTCTCCAAACACAAATCTATCACTCCCAACAACACCTATCTCTATAATGTAATGTTATATTCTCATCACTAATTTATTTCGTCATTCATGTCATTTGATAAACAATGATTGGAATTTTTAGCTTTATTATATGATTTGTATCTCTGCGTATTTCGCATTTTTTACAATTCTTTCATGCCAGCCCACCCAAAAAAAAAAAAACAAAAAAAAAAGGAAAAAGAAGAATACCAGTATGGGGAACTTAGAGAAGAAGCAGCGTATCATACCTTTCATTTCGCACAGATCCAAAAAACCCAAGTAGCCACTGAATTTGATTAGTCAATTGACTTGCATTAATCGGGACAAAAAATTATAATTGTTGCCGACGAAAAAAAAAAAAAAAAAAAAAAAGGAAAAAGAAAGAAATACCAGTATGGGAATTAGAAGAAGCAGTATATACCTTTCATTCGAAGATCCAAAACCAAAGTAGCCATGAATTTGATTAGTCAATTGATTGCATAATGGACCAAAAATTATAATGTGCGACGGGCACTCCCTTTTTCCGCATAATGGCGGATCCAACGAATAGATTCTGTACTACATTCCACATATTTTGTAAAAGATGAAAAATATCTTCAATGAAATGTCACAAACTCATGATTTCTCATATTTAAAAATTATAAATTGACTCCTTATTATGGTTGAAATTTAAATACAAGACTTCATGGACCATATACCAAAGTATAACTTAAATGATAACAATAGATATTTGATCACTATTGATCAAATAGACCTAACAATAGATTCAAGTACGGATTCACTCTCTCAATATTCGAAAAAAAAAAAAAAAAATCTTATCTTGATACTCAAAAAAAAAATTCAATGGACCAATAGAAGACTTGTTTAATAAGATTTGTTTTCTACTAAAAGTAAAACTTAATGTTAAACCAACATCAATATCAATGGAGTATATAAAATCCCATAATAAAAAATTTTTAATGTCAGCAAATTAATATTTGATCACTATTGGCATGTTATAAAAAGGTGTTACTAATTATATTTTTACATATAAAATTTATGTTAAAAAGGTTTGCAAATATAATCTTTTTAACAAGAGCACACATAGACCAGCAAAATTTGAATATGTTTAAGATGCTTGCTTTGGCAACTAGGGAAGAATTTGACGTCACACATGAATGGTTGGCGGACACGAGCCTAACAAACAAGTTGCCGTTTTCTGAAAAATTAGTGAAAGATAATGTTAAATGACAAGACTGACCTAATAATAGCTTGATTTCATCTTCTCCAATCTACACTAGGTCTGCTCAGTTGGCTATAGTATGACTGTAAACAAGCTGAGCCAAGCTCTGTTTAGCTCAGTTTTAGTTTGATAAAAGGCTCAAATTTGAAAAATTATTCCTTTAAATACTCAGAATTTGAGTTTGATGGAGCTCAGTTAATTGCTTATGGAATAAGGTTTCTTTTCGAGTCCAACATCTAACAGCTCACAAGAGCCTTAGCTCATTTACAACTATTCAGAAAGTGGTGAGCATGGATAAGGTAAAATGTGGATATATGAAAAGTCGAAAGTTTGGAAATGGTCTGTCATGATTGACATCAGCGAAAACAGAATCTGTTGCTTTGATTGATAATTAAATGGAGGTTGTGAGGCTATTAGGAAAGTAAAAGGAAAAGCTGAATTGGATGGCACAGAGAAGTGAAATGGCAGGCAACCTATTTTACTTTCTTTCTTCTTTCTTTTTTTCCCTGTTGTAATAAAAAGTTGGATCTGACGATGTCTATTACATATGCAAAGTGCAAAGCAAAGAACGCTTTCTTGTTTGTTGTTCCTTGTTGCTGTACTTGCCAGTTTAATTTAATTTAATACTTCTTATTGTTACAAAATTTTTTTTTAAAAAAAAAAAAAGATAATCCTTTCATCTGTATCAAAAGGAAGAGAGCCGCGTTTCAGATATTTATCCAAGTTAAAAAAATTAACTACTGTGTTTTTTCCCCTCTAGGGTAATACTGAGGAAGGAAGTGTAATATTTTGGACTGAACTTAGTAATAATATTCGATCTCATGGATAGTGTAATATTTTTTTACGGATAATTAGTTTTAGTATATTGATTCGACGCGAACATGATTTAATATAATTTTAATAAATTAAGGATACTGAAAAAAATTTAATGGTTACTGGATCCCGTAACCAGTAATTAATCCAATTAATGCAAGAGCCGCTATAATTGACTTGTATGAAAAGGACAAGGAGCATAGACACGTAAGGTTATTTTTATCACCATACTCAGCAACCTACATTATCACGCATCATTTGCTTTTTTTTTTTTTTTTAATTACAAAGATAAATTTAGTTACATTAAAAAAATAAATGAGAAATTAAGCTCGAATAAGTACATGCAAATAAGGAAAGCACATCCACATGCCCGTACCTTCCAGAAACCGGTGACTCGGGTGACACGAAAAAAGTGTAAATTCGTATTCGCAACCATACCCGGATCCGCAATTCCTCGATAGCTTCGGTACGATGGTGCACATCATTCCAGCACCGCCCCATCCGGAGATGGATGAAGCCTTATTATTAGGCTGTCGGAGCCGCTGGGTTTGCTTAAACTGGTATATTAGGTCGTTGACTGACAGTTGACGGTGACACATGGGTGACGCCATCTGATGTGACAGTGGCAGGTCATGGAGGGGTCCAAATGACGCCACGATCTGAATCTTTGTCGGCTCATAAGTGGCTGTTTGTTTCTTTTTACTGATGGTTCAAAACAGGGTATCTTACTCTTAATAAATATCAACCGTACACGTGGCAGATGTGGAGTGGTGGGGCCTTTTGCGTGCGTGAAAAATCTTGATCACTCAACCAGGTTGTATCGGGTAAGATTGTTAACCATAAAATGAGACTATCGGTGAATGTATAAATCTCACGGTAATCTAAATTTTGTGAGACACGTATTATATTTTCGAAGTTATGAAATTTCGTAACATTATATCTTTTTCTTTATTAACATTAATAATTTTTGGATGTTTTTAGCTTTTATGTATAAAATATTTATTTGATTTATGGTTAGTATAACATTTGAAATAATAATTTTTATTTTTTTATAAGTATTTAATCGATTTAATTTTAAATTTTAATTATTTAATAAAATAATCTTTACAAGTTAAAATATTTAACAGATATAATTTTATAAATTGAAATATTCATTGAGTTAAAATAAAAATTAAAAGTGTCACGAGATCTTTTAAATAAATCACACGTGTAAATTTATGTATTAAACGTATATATTTCATTCTAATTTAATTATTATGTACGTGAGATGTGTATAGGCAGGTGTGAAACCTATAATTAAACATCACTTTAAATAAAATAAAAATGATTAAAATTTAATAAAAATTGAAAATAAAATGAGCTAAATTATTAAAACCGAATTGATTTAGTTAATTTAAGTAATTGTTTTCTCACTTTAAATCATACATGTTAGGAGAGCTATTGAAAACTTTTGAGTAGCATTAGTCGAGATTGGAATTATGAAAGTGGCACTTGAGAAAAAGATATCCAGGCTAAGTGGGCAAAAGGATCTCATGTAAGTCTTAATTATTCAATATATAATAAAAGATTCCCATTAATTCTAGAATCTTGTTACTTTAGTTTGTTGTACACTTTTCACATTGGAGATTCAGTTTTCTTTTGCTCTCAAGCCATATTAGCATATTAGTATATGAAATAAAAAGTTGTTAAACATATGAGGAAAGTATCATTTAAATATTGCTAGAAAATGTATGTTTAGATAATTGATGCTTGTTTGTTAATTTTGAAAATTTAATAATTAAAATAAGTAAAATTTATTTTTAATAAATATTCTAAACATAATACTTTTTTTCAACAAAACAATAATTCAAAAATTTCTTTTTAAAGTATATAAATAGGCTGGGTTTATAAATTCTTTAGAAAGAAAGAAAGAAAGCATATGAGGATGCTATTGAATAATGTTTTGTTTATTTTGTTTTTGAATGAAGAAATGGCAGGGATCCATCATATCATGTAGAGCACTTGTAATGGGCAGCAAAATGAGGTTGTCACCTTGATGGTCTAATCATAGTAAAAGACAGAGTGTGGTAGGCCTATTTCTTTAACCTTTTGACATTTATTCATAATCTCCAATTAGGTTTGATTTTACTTTACTTTTGATATATAAACCTTTTTTTTTTGGAAAAAAAAAAAAAAAAAAATTAACGATGTAGAACATTCCCAGAGTCTAATGTAGTATCATGTGTGATTTGAGATTTGGACACAGATTTCTCAGCATAAAGAATGATTATAACCCATAAAAATAGTTCAAGTGAGCAACAAAGGGGATCTTCCATTTTTAATAATTCTTAGGAAACAATATTAATTTTACCAAATGAGAAATTGATATTTGAAATATCAAACTATGGACTAAAATAATAAAAAAGAGGTCTTTTAAAATTTACTTTCACTTTATCTTATTTTTTTACTCAAATGATTAGAGAAATATCATCTTTTCAATAAAAATTTATTCTACGCTAATTTAATATATGGATAAGCTCACAGACTAGATCTAATTAAAGTAATCTCTTAAAATATAAACCGTTGATAGAGGAAGGACTATTGATTTTGAACTTTGTCATTTTAATTTGGTAAAATATAACTAGATTTATAAATTTCCCTGTATTGAGAATTATATATAGACTTAATTATATTTTACCCCTTTTAATTTTTACCGTACGTACTCGGAGAGAGAAAACTCGTTGGGTTGTTTGTCCAATAAAAACAGAAAAATAGCTCTTTGGATCCACGGGCCACCATAACTTAACATTGGCCCAAAGGCTCTACAACAGGAAGGCCGTTATTGGCTTATGTTATTTCAATCACATGTTTTGGTTTTCACCACGGACCATAATTATTATATTATCAGAAATTAATACAAAATTATCGATAATTACGTAATATGATTAATACTATTGTATTAAATTCCCAATTTACAAGTGAGTTTCATGTGTTATGAAATTGCTTTCAGAGATATCAAACCCAGCCCATGTAGGGGGCCTCTTAATTATTTGGGCCATCACGGACCAGCATTCATTTGACTAACTGGACACATAATTGACGATACCAAATTAAGCCACGCGTACTCCGTTTCCTTGAAGGCCCGTCTTTCCGTCGAACAATTGAGAAATTCTAGAACTTTCATGATTATCTGTCTGAAAACCAGCTTCTATGCCAACTGGCAGAAACTTCCGAGCTTGCTACCAAATCTCTCTGTTTTTCACTTTCTAGAACTTTCCTTTCCATTCTCATATAAACTCACACTCTCCCTCTCTCCTCTGATCAGCAAACAACACTCGCAAAGCACAAAATTTTCTTCTCTAAACTCGAATTCAAACAAAAACTTTAACCCTCAATTGAAAATTCAGTACTAAACCTTACTCGAATGAATTGAAAATTCAATTGCAAGCAACCCACGCAGACCAAATAATGGAGGATTTGGTTGCAGTGAAAGAAGAGAAGGAAACAGTGACATATACTGCAGGTGTGTCTTCTTCTTCATCATCTTCAAGTTTCCCGCCTCAGCCAATGGAAGGGTTACACGAGATTGGTCCGCCTCCATTTCTGACCAAGACATTTGAAATGGTGGAAGACCCATCAACTGATACGGTGGTTTCATGGAGTGGAGCTCGTAATAGCTTCATTGTTTGGGACTCTCATAAGTTCTCCACTATGCTGCTTCCGAAGTATTTCAAGCACAGCAACTTCTCCAGCTTCATTCGCCAGCTCAACACATATGTAAGTACTGTAATTAGTTAAAGATATCATCTTTCTTGCATTTCTGTTCTTTCTTTAGCTGTATGTTATCCGGATTGTTCTCTAATTTCAAATGTTTTTGAGTTGTTTGTTAATTAACTGGTTAGTATTCCATTGATTATTTGATGTTATTTTGCCCTTATAAGGATTTTGGATTTTGTTTTGATTACAATTGGGGTTTTACATGTCCTTGTTATAGGGTTTCTACTCTGAGATTGTCGATGATGTGCTCTGATATACTATTTTCTCTCCTGTTTTGTCGAAGGTCTATCAAATGTCAATATGATCACATCCTGGCTAAATTTTGTTATTGATCAACAAAGTTTAAAGTAGTAGGTGCCTTTTCAATTGTGATCATGACTTCCAAAATTAACAATGACTACGAATTTCAATGCTCATTTAATCATTCAAATCCTCTCCACTCTCCAGGCTGGAAATTTTTTAGTTAGTAGTAGTTGTTCAACTATTGAATTTTGTGGCTTCTATTTATAATTTCTGGAAAGATCAACGTAATTTGAAAACCTGGTTATTCTTCACTATTGAGCATTAGCGTTTTATTTTTTATTTTTTTCTTTTCAAGCTTTAATAACTGTATAATTTTTATTTTTTCATATCTTATTATCTGTTTTTCTCTGGATTTCTCATTTGATGAAACTACTTGTGTTTGTTAGTTTTGATGTGCATACTCCTTTCTTTGGTCATTCGCGTTATATTAGTTTGATCTCAATACGTGCTGATCGCATTTCTGCCATGGCACGATGCAGGGTTTCAGAAAGGTTGATCCTGACAGATGGGAATTTGCAAATGAAGGGTTTTTAGGAGGGCAGAAGCATCTACTGAAGACCATCAAGAGGAGAAGACACGTCTCGCAAAGTATGCAACAGCAGAGTGCAGGAGCTTGTGTAGAATTAGGAGAATTTGGATTGGAAGGTGAGATTGAAAGATTAAAGAGAGATCGAAATGTACTAATGGCAGAAATAATGAGGCTTAGGCAGCACCAACAGCAGTCGAGGGAACAAATTGCTGCCGTGGAGGATAGGTTACAGAGTACAGAGAAAAAACAGCAGCAAATAATGACATTTCTTGCCAAAGCTCTCAACAATCCATCCTTTATCCAGCAATTCGCTCAGATGACCGCACACAAGAAAGAACTACGACGTGTTGGAATTGGATGCAAGCGCAGACTTACTGCGAGTACAAGTGTCGAAAATTTGCAAGAAGCTGGTTCTATGGATATGGGTGTTGGCCAAGTTGCTGATTACACAGATCAAGCATTAGGAACTATGGAAACTGAGATAGAAACATTATTCTCAGCTGCCTTGGACGATGAATCGAGCAGTGACGTGAGGGACCCAACAGCAGGTTCTGCACAAGGGGCAAGTGGTGTGGCTAATTTGGATTCTGTTAATGAGACTATTTGGGAGGAATTATTGAATGATGATGTAATTACCTGCAATCCTGATGAAGAAATTGTTATTCTTGATGATGAACCGGAAATCGATGTAGAAGTTGAAGATTTGGTTGCCAATCCTGAAGATTGGGGTGAGGAATTGCAAGACCTTGTGGATCAAATGGGTTATTTAAGGTCAAAGACATGATTTAACAGAATGGATTTGACATTGTTCTGAGTTGGTCTCTGCAACTCCATTCCTGTTTTTATAATGGTATGCTTATAAATCCTTCCTCGGCTAATTGTTTTGTTTTTTCAAGTGTTGTGTTCTTGACTTATAAAGAAACTGTTTTTGATATATCAGGGAGTGGTGGAAGTTGCTGTGGGGCCAACATTTGTTCCTGTTCTTCTGTATCCTTTACTGATAATCTAATTCTTAAAAATTCCTTTATTATTTTTTTTTCTAACGCAATTTATTTCAGTAGTCAAGCAATTTGGTGGTTCTATTGATTCTTCTCTACTGCATTTTGCAGGCGAACTGGCCAACGAAGAAGATCTTTAAGGAGTTTCAATTCTTGAACTTTTATGACAAGTTGCTGTGTATACATGTTCATTTGCTAAACTCTTCAGAGGCTATTGTGTATTCTGTTGCTGTACATAACTCTACACAGAACAGTTGCTTTGCTAAAATATTAAATAGTCTGCTGAATTAATTTTGTAATGAAAATTTTTGACAGGAAAATTAATATCAGTGATCTGTGTAGATTCGGTTTATAGTCTATTCATTGATTGGTTCAAGAAAATTTTTTTTTCTTGAAAAGTTTTTTTTTTTTTTTTTTTGTTTATTTATTTATTAATTATTCAGAAAAACAGATAAAGTATGACTAATTTTTGAAAGGGTGTATTGAATAATTTTTAAAAGGGTGTTCCTGATCTGTTGGTGGTGACCAATGACATTTCTGCCCCTCTACTGTACGTATTTGAGTCCCTACTGTATTTAGGAAGGAACTAATATTTTCTAATGTTTAGTTTAAGCTGTTATTTTGGTTAAATAAAAAAAATAATATTTACAATAGTTTTTAAAGAGCAAAAAGATGTAAATTTTTTGAAGTAAAGTTTATTTATTTACTTATTTATTAAATGTATTTTTATTTCTGTTACATTTATTTTTAGAATAATGTTAGAATTTGAAAATGTAGTTCTTTTCTGTAGTTCTTTGATGATAAGGAATCCAAATTTTTCTGGAATGTATGCTAATGCAACAAAATATTGGCGGTGGATAACATGTTTCGTAAGATTTGATGCAGACATCTTCACATTTATTATTGTATTCTCGATTTTCATATGAATATGTGGACAAAGACAAACATATAAAAGGAATCCTTAAGCATTTTACTACAAGACAAAAAAATATTCTTCCCTTGTAACTTTTATTTTCTGTTTCATCCACCTCTTATAACAGAAGTTTATTCAGATCATCCTGAAGTTTTTAATTCTTTTAATCTTTTTGTGCTAGATAGTTGTATAAATCATAATAAATAAGCGAGCATTTATTAGATTACATTTAATTATCAGAATTTAACGTTTTGGTATGAATCGCGTCTCTAGAAAAATAATTCAAAAAAATTATTGAATGATTCTGTTTGGATGAAAAATATTTTTCAAAGTTTCTTAATTCCTTTTCGACAAAATATAGTAATTTTTAAAAATATATTTCGAGAATTTATTTTTTCTCACTGAATTTGCTACATACATAATAATTATACGAAGGTTGAAAGGGTATCTATTTCATCGTTGAAATCATTCTAATCCCGACAACGCCAAGTGCAAAAAAAGATGCTGACATAGACAGCCAAAGCCACCATATCTATTTGGCTCTCCTTCTCTCTGTCAAACAAAAACGTTTCAGTGATCGGTGATAGGTAGTTTGGACATGGAAGAAGCCTTCTTTAGCAGCAGTGTTTCTGTGCTCTCAATTTTTTTCACAGCGTTTGCCATATTATTGGGCTACTTGTATAGGCCTTACTGGGGTGTTAGAAAGGTCCCAGGGCCTCCAACAATTCCTCTCTTAGGGCACCTTCCCTTACTTGCAAAGTATGGTCCCGATGTTTTCTCCGTCCTTGCCAAACAATATGGCCCCATTTTCAGGTCAGTTTTTGCTGTTCTTTGGTGGGTTCTCTTATTTTAAGTTTTTGAAGATCTGATGTTTGTTTTATGCACTAAAAGAAACGGGAACTACAAAGTTATAATTTTTTTTATTAGAGTGGTGAAAGATAGGAACTTTGTGGGGCATTAATTGGGTTGTGGGTTTTGATTGTTATGGCGTAGGTTTCACATGGGAAGACAACCATTGATAATAATAGCAGATCCTGAACTTTGCAAAGAAGTTGGAATTAAGAAATTCAAATACATTTCAAATAGGAGCATTCCCTCTCCAATCTCAGCTTCTCCTCTTCATCAAAAAGGTCTGTTCTTCACCAGGTAATTTTAATTTAACCATCCTATTTTTGGCCTATCATTATCAATATTACCATATTTAGCTGCACAACCTAATATGATTCTAATTTTTTGTACAAGCCGCCATGCCTAGCTAAGAAAAATCATTCTTTCCCTAGTCAAAATTTAAAATTTTAGCTCAAGTGTAATGGATTCATTTTCAGTATCATGAGTTTGGAAGTTTGAATCCAATCAGAGTTAATTAATTATAAGGTTTGTTTTGGGTGTTGAATCGTGAATCTTATTAAAAATTAGCTGCAGATGTACTAATTTTAGGAAATCCATTTGATCACTTAATAGCGTATTTTATTAATGAAGATAAACATATGACAAAAAAGTCTTTTTCTGGAATTTGAACTTGCAGGGACGCAAGATGGTCAACCATGAGAAACACAATATTGTCGGTCTATCAGCCATCACACTTAGCTAGCCTAGTCCCTACGATGCAATCATTCATTGCGTCTGCAACTAAGAATTTCCAATGCTCTAAAGAAGAAGACATCACTTTCTCTAATCTTTCCCTCAAACTAGCCACAGATGTTATAGGCCAAGCTGCATTTGGAGTTGATTTTGGTCTCTCTAAGCCACAATCTTCCACAGCCAGTGAGTCGATCAATAATTCTCATAGCCAAGATAATGACGATGAGGTCTCAGACTTCATAAATCAACATGTTTACTCAACTACACAACTTAAGATGGATTTATCAGGTTCTTTTTCAATTATACTTGGCCTTCTTATCCCTATACTGCAAGAACCTTTCAGACAGATTCTCAAGCGAATTCCTGGCACCATGGACTGGAAAGTTGATAGGACTAACAAAAATTTAAGTGGTCGGTTAGATGAGATTGTAGCGAAGAGAATGAAGGATAATAACCAGGGTTCTAAGGACTTCTTGTCGCTCATATTAAGTGCAAGGGAGTCAGAGACTCTTGCGAAAAATGTTTTTACTCCAGATTATATTAGTGCAGTTACTTATGAGCACCTTCTTGCTGGGTCAGCGACAACAGCGTTCACACTGTCTTCAATTGTTTATTTAGTCGCTGGACATCCAGACGTTGAGGAGAAGTTGCTTGCAGAAATTGATGGGTTTGGTCCACCTGATCAGATGCCAACAGCTCATGATCTTCAAAACAAGCTTCCCTATCTTGACCAGGCAAGGTTCCCAACTTCAATTTGGAATTATTAACAGGATCCGTAATTTGTATGATTTATAATTAGTTAAATTTTTTATATCTGGTATTTCTAGGTGTGCATTACCAAACTATGGGAGTTTAACTTACGGTAAATGATCTGATTGCAGGTGATTAAAGAGTCCATGAGGTTCTATGTTGCTTCCCCATTAGTTGCCAGAGAGACTTCAAAAGAAGTAGAGATAGGAGGTTACCTTCTCCCAAAGGTATTGTTATGCAACAATTATTTATGCAGAACTGGTCTGGATTTACCTAGTAATGTATTTATTTTGTTTGATCAGGGCACATGGGTCTGGTTAGCGCTCGGAGTTCTAGCTAAAGATCCAAAGAACTTCCCCGAGCCAGACAAGTTCAAGCCAGAGAGATTCAATCCGAATTTTGAAGAAGAGAAACAAAGACACCCTTATGCTCTCATTCCTTTTGGAATAGGGCCCAGAGCTTGCATTGGCCAGAAATTTGTCCTACAAGAATTAAAGCTGTCGCTGATAGACCTTTACCGTAAATATATATTCCGACATTCTCCTAACATGGAAAAACCTCTGGAACTTGAATATGGCATAGTTCTCAACTTCAAGCATGGTGTAAAGCTTAGAGTCATAAAACGAAGATGAAGGATACTTTGTGCAATCTGCCTTGTTGATTCAATAATGTTTAGGCCTATTATATTTTAATATCGTAAAAACAGTATACAGCCATGATCTAATGGGCCGAGGATGGTTATATCAGAACTAATTGATCTGCTAAATTTCAATGATCTTAAATGTGTGAACCGGAGATGATAAAATACACAAGCCATGAATAAAAATACTTTGCAAATTTTGATAGCGCTCAAAACACAAACTGAAGAACTAATTGATCTGTTCTGATTACAGCTTACTAATTGCGCAATTGCAAAAGCTCCCCTAATTAATACACATTCTCAGAAGAGAACAACAAGCCGTTGAACTTCCTGAAACACAGCCTTATCCATCTAATCATACAAGGGGATTGTCTGTTCCCCTTAATTGCTTCATTGAGTTCTTATCCAGTCTTGTTGGCAGGCAAAGTGGCTTAGACAAATTAATTGAAGGATGATCAGAACCAGCACTGCTTTTTGAATCTTCATTAGAGAATGCAGCTGATCTTTTCAGAAACTGAAACTCATCCATGGATTGCCTTTGAATTCTGTGAGACAAATGATTGGTTGTTTTTCGCTTTGCCTTGGTTGACTCGGTCAAGTTCATATAGTTTGGCTTGCTATTACCACTCTCCTCTGTTCTATCTGAGGCCAAGCCAGTGTTTCCTGAAATTGGTGTTGCAGAAGTACAAATTGAAGATGAAGCAGAGCTCTCATCATAGCGAAATTCAGAACTCGGGCTTGATGATGAACGAGTAACTTGCCCAATTGGAGGTTTTGCAGAAATCCTTGTGGAAACATTATTCTTTCTGACTTTCACAAAGCTTTGTTCAGAAGATTTTGAATTTTTGCTTGCAAGTGAGTCTGCACAGGACTTTGGTGGTGGAGTTATTTCAGACTGGTCAACGTGAGATTGCTCCATCAGTCTAGTCTCCCATGGCTTGGCTGCCATCCAACGTTCTAGCCAACTCCATCCCCAACTATTCTTATCAAATTCATTATTCTTGAAAGAGGACACAGAGCCGTTGCTTCGAGTATTCGAACTGGGGTTTGACCTCCATTGCTGAGAAATTAAAAGAATTAGTGAAAAAAGAATAAGAGACTATATAATCCATTTTTAGAATGGAAACATTTGAATACCTTTTGAGCAAGAGAGTATGCAATTGCTCTTTCTCTCTTGAAAGCTCCTTCATGTCTCATTTGTAGCTTTGCTTTAACATCTTCCAATGTTCCTTTACTATCACACCATCCTTCCTGAAAATTTCAGTAAGACAAATAATATGAGAGTCGAGACTTAAAAAAGAAAAGAATTTATTTTAATGATGGTTTTATGATATACCTCAGCTTCTTTCAAGATATCATCTTTGCTTCTCCTTTCATCAAGCATTTTCTGCACAGCCTGTCCTTCTATGGACATGCGCACACGGCGAGCCCTGACTCGAGCCTGAACTCGAACAAGAGCCTGCATACACCTAAGTGTCACTGCAGCTTGCTTCCTTACTTGTCGACCTCGAACCAGAGCTTGAAGCCTTACCACTCCTTTCAAGGCTCTCAAAGCCCTTCTCGCCTACAATTCATTTACATATATGAATACCAGATCAAAAAGAAAATCACCATAGTGGATCTTTAGCTTTCTAGCTAGCTTATGCATTAAAGTTCAAATTTTTTGTTTTCTTTGATTTTCTCAGTCATTTTACAAATAGGAGATCTAAGAATTGAAGTCAGAGAAACTTATTCACCAGGAATCCACGAAATGCTGTTTGAATCCGGATTGCAGCCCATTCTTGCCTAACAACCCTGAAACCTTTTTGAGGGGCTCGAACTACGGTTGCCATTGCAGCACTAAAAGCATCAGTCATCGGTGAAGATCCTGATGCTTCAGATGCTGCCTTGTTACTTCCTTTGAAACCTTTCCATGAAGATCCTAAGTCTCCAGAAGAGCTTCTCCATAGCTTCCATTTCTTGCTCTTACCCATCTTCTCCTAAATAAATAATTATAATAATAACAAAATGACCTGTTGTTAATTCATTATACAATTGTATACAAATAAGATCGGAAAAAGAAAAAAGAAAAAAGAAAATGCAAAGACTGAATCTTTTTTGAAGTGTTAGTTCAAAAAAATACTTACATTTTCTTCTTTATCTGACTTTTTGAGACCTATTAGAGATTTTACCCATTTTCCTGACGCACCCATTGAAGAAGAGGACTTTGCTCAAGCAGAGCAAACAATGAAAATACTGTACTTTAAGATTTAAAGCCAAAAAAAAAAACTTTTTGGACTCGGAAAAAATGGAACAGCGAATATGAAAGACAAACAGTATAATTTTGAAGAACAAAGTTCCAAGTAGCTAAAAAAGGGAAAAAATTTTGAAGAAACAGTACCCTTCAAACTTCTGAAGAAACCCAACGAAGCAAGAGCGAGAATGTTGAAGAATAAAGCTTTGGCTAGAGAGAGAAAATGGGTAGCAACCCAAATATGAAAATATTGAGAAAAACCAGAGAGAGAGAGGGAGACGTGGTGGGTTTAGTGGGATAATGGGTTGGTTTTGGTTAGTGGTTACTTACATGGTCTAATGTGCCGTTTGATATTTGAAATTCAAACAAACAACAGACAAAACGACTCGTCCCGCTCGAATCCTATGGAGGGATGTGAGATGCTTTGCCACTGTGTTTGCAATAATATTACAAAACTAGCCCTCCTAACGGATGAGGTAAAAAAATCATGAAAAGGCACAAATTCTTTGAAAACATACAAGCAAAAAAAGCCCAAAAGCATACCGACAGTAAAATCTTTTCTGGTCAGTGACGTGAAGATCTGGTATTTTCTTGCTAATAATGTTATATAATACTTAAAAAAATATAAAAAAAGCCCTTCGGCCCATTAAAACTTTTTTAGGACCAGGATGAGCCAATCTAATGCAAGCACTTGTTACTGAGCCATTGGTATGTTTGACATCTTTTTTTTAATTATCATTAATAAAAAATACTTTGCTAAAAGTTTTAGTTTTATTTGGTAGTCACGTGTTCGGCGACAACTTTTAAGTAATTTTAGAGCTTTGAAAACACTAAATATTATATTTTATAATATTTAATAACATATTTTTTGAACTAGCTTTTAATATTAAAATAGCATTTTATAAAAAGTTAACTCACGTGATATTTAACTTTTAGTGTCTCATATAATATCATGTAATGTTTAATTTTTAATGTCTTATGTATTATTTAGCTTTTAGCATTTTTATAAAAAAACTATTTAATCAACTAACTGTTATCAAAATAAAAACAGCTAATGTCAGAGAAAAGATCTTAACAATTACTTTCACCGTAAAATAACTTCCAAAAAGATAATTAAAGAAATTGTGCTGCAATAATTAAGTACAATGAATTTATTAACTTAGCTTTTGGGTATAAATTTATCCATAAATCAAATTAATTAAAAATAATTTTAAGTTATAACGAAGGTATTTTTGATCATTTATTAAGAAAAAAGAACAAAACAATAATAATCTTTTAAAAAATTTCTTTATGGATTGATTTAATGTGTAAAACTATTAGGGTATTGAGGAGTCTTTATCTTACATTAAAATTTTTATTATGGATGTTATTATAGTGGCAAAATGCCTAAAGAGATGTTTGGATTTATCACTAAAGCCAAATACTTCACATCTGACCTAACTGTAACACTTTTGCAGAAATTTGAATTCATATAACCCCAAATCTTAATTTAAGAAACTTGATTGCATGTGTAGTGGATATTCTTATTTATTTCTTTAATTAGTTTTGACTACTTGCAATTTAATGATCTTGAAGCTACTCATGATACTTCATTTACGTTCACCTTGAGATTAATATTGAATCAGTAAAAATTTATTATCTCCATGACATGACAATTATTTATATATTGAAACAGGCTAGGGTTGATGCTACCAAGAATGGGTTTAGGCTGAAGAGTCAAGACTGAAGTTGCTTAAGCCGCAGGTTGTTTGGGAATTTGCAAGCTTCGAGAATACAAACACAATACACAGGTGACAGACAGGTCACAGGAGCAACAATAATGAGTTGGAATGGTAAGTGAAAATGCATTTAATTTAAGACAAAAGAATCCATTGAAACAAACAAGAGTGTCATTTGTTTTGTTAATGGAGAGCTTCTGGCAGAGGTTAAAGTGCCTTTGTCAAGCTCAAGCATAGACATCGAGGTTCAATACTCCCTTTTTACTTACTTTTGTCTATTAGCATCATCTTTTTTAAATTCCATTCCATTTTGACTCTCTGTGTTCTCCTAGTGTTAATTATATTATTGGACTCTTCTCTCTCTTTCGCATTATTTTTTGCTAGAAGCAGCAGTATCCAAAGTTTCTACTGTGTAAACGTGAATTTAAAATTTCAACTCCGATTAGGTTGACTCCCATTCTTTTTTCTATAAAATAGATTTCTAAAAACAGTGTTGCGGTTCAAACAGGGGAATCAATTTAAAAATAGAAATTAAAAGATATTAGGGTTTATGGTTTGCATAAAGAATTTAACAATTTTTAATATGTTTTGGAGCAGAAGGACAAAACCCAAAATAAACTTACCAATCACAGAAACGGTAGGAAAATGTGGGAATTTATCAAAAAAAGGGAACTTATTTATTCAATAGTTGATTCATTTATGTACAAAAATATGGTCAAGTTAACAATTATTGAAAGAACAAAGAATGCTATGTCAATTTCCTATTTCACACCTATTATTAAGGGCACAACACCAAAGTCCAGCAAGCTCTAACCGAATCAACGGGTAACTGATACCCTTGGGCTAGGCAGTCCCATATATGCGAGTCTAGGTGAGACTCGAATCCTTGGGCTGGGCCTTGGTGAAGGGATTGGTTCGCAGCTTTCAAATGGGCCAGGACCCACCCTAGGAGATAAGTTGACTTGTTCAAGTGCCCTAAATTGCAGCTCTTGTGGGTAGTCCCTCACACACCCAATTCTAGGACCAAGCCCACTAGTCCACTTGCATGACAACCTCTTGCTCATGTCAAACATTAATGGTGCTTCTAACTTGGCAGCTTCTTGATGATTGTTTGTATCAGGAATAGACTCATCAACCTCAATAACTTTTGACCCATCAACCTCACCAGCTATTTTGATTGAAGCAGCATCATCATCTACTGCATACCTCTGCAAAAGTAAGTCGCAAAAATATAAGCCAAACTATAAGAAAACAAAACTAATTTTAGTGAATGGTAAGCATGTTAGAGTTTGAACTTTGAACCCTCCAATCTAATACAATGTGAGCTTTACCTTAACATTTGCCAGGTCTACATTATGCTCTTCAAGAAAACTGATGAACTCTTTGAAATTATCCTCAGTTGGCAGATAATGACCACTATATGGCCATATTGCCTGAAGAATTCCATCGTTAGCTACTAATCTTCCAGCAGCTACTGTAGCTCCTCCTGACAAGAAACTTGAGTGTTGGAAAACACCTTTCTTCTTCTGCCCTACATACAGTGTTCTTGATGTGCTCAGCACAAAAATCCATTTACAGCCCTCCGTAGTATTAATCAGCATTCCTGTTTTGCGGTATACAAGCTTCCCCTCTTCCACAATCACTTCATATGTTTCCCTCTCTTTCTGGAACAGCAAAAAAAGATTGTAAGACATTCAGATCGAAACATTTAGAGAAGATATGCGGATAAAGAAAAAAAAGTTGTAAGACATACTGGTCCAAGATAGTCGATGCATTGGCGTTGCAGAACATTTCTGGCACACTTCTCATGGTTTATTTCTTTCCCATCACCAATGTCCAACCTTCAATTTCAAGAGCAATTATTCAGTATACCAAATGCGCAATTCAATAGAAAGAAGCGCAGAGGGAACTACTTTATATACTAGTAAAAGTTTTATTATTACCAGTAAAAGAAAGGTTGAGTGCTCTTGCTATCAGTCCAAACATCATAGTAAAAATGTAAATTGTGTCCATACCGGTGGCGTGGATCAATCTGTAATAGATCAAGAAACAGTTAAACTTTTCATTTTTCAGAACGATCCTCTTCTGTAACTCTACTTGTGAGCATAAACATGCAATTTCAGTGATCCCAGGTTTCTTTTCAATTCTTTTTTACTCTACGGAGACAAATATGTATGAGTTTCCAGCAGAAAGACAGGTTAAAAAAAAAAAAAAAAAAAAAAAAAATGTAGGGCTAATTTTTGAGCCTTCTCATCCTTGGACAACCCTTTTCCAACCTAAAACACAGAAAATAACATTTCAATTTAAGATGTTAATTCCAAATAGAAACTTTTGTTTTTTGGCAATGAATTGGACTTGCAATCGTATTAGTGAAATAGAATCCATTCTTTATGATTAGTGAAACATCTAATAAATTAATAAACTTAATCACCTTAGCAGCCCTTGTTGTCGCCCTTGCCCATTTTTTTACAGCAGTTTCATGCTTCTCTATGTTAAAAAATGACACTGAGCTCCTTTCCAAAGCTGCAAAATCTAAGGCCTTCCACCTACAGCAATCGAAATTTTCCAATGAAATAAAAATATTATCAAACTACCCAAAACAAGAAAAGAGACAAGAAATTGAGATAACACTGAGAAAGAGACAAACCAGAGCTCCTCAACCACAACTGCACAATCTGCAAGGTTCCTCCTAGTCCTATAACTTTTATAAACTTTTTGGAGCTTAGTTGCAGCAGCATCAAGCTCACTAATGGGTCTTGGAGAAAAGAACACAATGGGCTCAGGGATTTTTATTGTGGGTTTTGTTATGCGGATTGATGCTTGAAATTTGTCCAAATTTGCAGATGCTTTAGCCTTTTCTTGATTAGAATCCCAGTTCTTGAAACTCAATGATCTCTCTATCATCATTTTTATCTGACTCGATTATCAGAATGGTCCACCTGCCAATCAGCTTTTGGGAGTTCAATAAAATTTGAAGATAACAAAATTAGTGTAAAGGAATCACCTTTGATTTGGACAATACTAAAAAAATATGAAATTACTTTAATTTAGTAAAAATTCAAAAACAAAGTTGCTTTAGTTTACAAAAAGGAAGGGAAAAATATCTGCAACCCATCAAGAATCATGCAAGAACAAGCAAAGTCAACAAGCATGAAGCATCCATATATATATAAAGCTGGAAACTGGAAAAGAAAAAGAAAGTGAAAGCCCAGCCAGATAAAGATTTCTCACCAACAAATGCACACACCAGATTAAAGGCTTCAAGATTCTCTCTTTTTCTATATGCGTGAATGCTCTATAAGTTCTATGCTAAAGAAGACTGGAAATGAAGGAAGCGCATGCAGTTGGTGAGTGGACTTTGCTCTTATATAGGGGTAGGAAGTTTGAAAAATCAAAGTTGGTGTGTCAATAAAAGCACCTATGACCCATTTTTCCAATTCCAGATGAAGTGACGGCAGCTAGCTTGAAAGTTTAACATATATGGTAGCTTCAAAGAAAACGCAAAACAGAGATGCATTGCATATACTGTTATGTATCTTCTTATCTTACAAAATACTGTATTCAACTACTAGGATTTTTTAAAAATGTTTAGTACTGGTGAAGGAGTTGAAACATAATAAGAAATTACATGAAAACGTTTATGCTTAATCATAGATAAAGGAGAATTAAATAAGATAATAAATGTAACTAATTTATTTTAATTTTCTCAGGGGTTGTAATTTGTCTATTGTAAGTGTTGCGTATTCTTGAGTTGACATTTTAAGGTTATATTATAGCAAATGATGCGTAATCACGTGGTAAGGTTGATGTTCTAAAACTGTTAGGTACAAATTATGGTTGGATCTCCACTCTCTCATTTTTGCATTGTCTAGTGTAGATGTTCTTAAATCTCAATCAATCAATAATTTTAAATTTTATAAGAATTATTTAGCTATTTACATTAAAATAAAATAAATAATTATGCTGATTATATGGTAAGGATTTTGTCTTTGAAGTAATTATAGGGTAAGTTTGGGGAAAGAGATTTCTATGGGTATTCACATATTTGATGATTATTTTTTAAGTCTTTTGAATTAAATTGATTACCATGCTATTGAAATAACTGTTAAAAAATAAAAATTCACTTTTTATAAAAAGACTTGCCGGCAAGACAGAAATATAAATTAGAGATGTTAGAATTATTTATTAAAAATAGAGGGACTTAAATATTAATTTGAATAAAAATATAAAGAGTTAATTATATTTTACCCATTAATTAAATGTTTTGATATTTCCTCCACCTGCTTTCCAGGTGGTTGAACCTGAAGCAAGCAATGAAAATGTATATCTAATCGTTCGGTTTAATTAATTATTACACAGGTACAATACACAAAAACCCAACTTTAATATCCAAATCCATAATTAACAAACACAAGTAAAATGTTAGCAAATCAGAGGCATCCACAGCACATATAATATATTAATCCGTAACTTAAAATATTTAACAGGGTCTCCCAATAATTGAAAGCTTCTGTCAATTATTGTAGTCTACCAAACAAGCTGGCTTAAAGAAAGTCCTCCAATTTCACTTTAGTCCTTCACTTTTATCACCAGAGACAAATAATAAATTCAATACAAAGAATAGCTTTATGTTACGTACAGTCTTCTGGTCCACACTCAATAAAAAGGATGCAACATGCAGTCAGACCCAGTCAATGTTTATCACTTCGCATTGAATAATGAAAATGAAATGTTCTTTTTTTTTTTTTTAACAAATTTAATTTGATTAGCAAACGCAAAAACAGAACATAGCAAACAATTTGATAATCTTTAGTACATAACTGTAATGGGCATAAACCCTAAATAGAAAACTTGGAACTTTTAATGCCAAACGTTTGAGCCATTCTGAAATTGCAAAAGATTGAAGTATTATTAAAAGTATATGAGCTGTATTTCTGAGTTGTTGTGCTTGTTAACTGGTTCAGTTTGAGATTTATCCAGTTGATATTGATTGGGATTTCTGTCGAGGTGGAATTCGAAGCCATACTTTCATCATGTCATATGCAGTAAAGCCGATTGCCACAGAGGGAACAATCTGACATTATCAAATTGGTAAACTTTGTTAGAATTGGAGTATTATAAATACCGATCAAAGAGCAATCACATGATTAATTCCTATGTTGTAACAGAAACAGCTCTTGGATTAACCTTTTGTTTGGAATAAATGAATTCCACAAAATTGTGGAATGTACAACATATTTTCCTTAACAAATTGCTCAAGAATTATCAGCATCTTCACACATCCAATATTTCATGGACGTGCTAATTTTAGGTTAATCAATTTCATTGCAATGAAACCTTACTAACACCAAAAGGTTCCAAATTAAAAAAAATACCGTCGTTCATTCTAAATTTGACGGATTCATAATCAAAGGTTAAAAGTACACTTAATAAGAATCTAGAATCTTAACAGTCATATATATGATGTACTGATTGAAGATTTTTACTTTTTGGCAGGTAAATGTGAATAACTAGATATAATACAATCTAAAATACTTTTAGATATTGTAAGCAGAGGACATTACCTTGATATAATTAATGCTCAGTCCTGCAAACAACTGTCTCCATCCTTGATTGCGGACTATAGTGCATAGCCCGTCCATCGTGCTCCTGTATCTAACATGACCTTGACTTGAAGGTTGCAGATTTTCAACCTGCCATAATTTTCCACGTCTACTTCAAATTTTGAGATATATGATATTCTTCTTAAGATTTCATTACGCACGCATGTTAAATTTAATTTAAAAGCGTCAAGCCTAACTGCATGATGAATATCTTATTTCAAACTATGAAGCTGGTTGCTATAGCTTTGAACTATTTTGCCACCAAATATTTTATTTCACAATTGAATCATCAGGTTTCCAGAAAAAAACCCAAAATCCAAATCCTCAACCATAAAATTTTCATGTCTAAATAGCCGACAAACAGATAGCCTAACTTAAGTGCATGGGTATTTCTGATACCTGCATCTGTCTCCTAACAACGTCTAATGGGTATGTGAAGGTCTGCCCGAGTAACCCAGCTAGAGCTCCACATGAAAGCCGCATCACAATGGACTTCTGGTGCTCTTCAGGAACATGCCTCTTAAGTTCCTCATAGACATAGAACTTCAAACCAGCGTAAGGAAGGATCCCAATGAGTGTAGGACCTGCTCAAAAGACAGAGACTTCATTAATAATCACCAATCATCCAATTTTCAGCAATTCCTTTCCCAAAAAGCAGCCATTAGATGCATTTTCAAGAAGCAGTTTCAACTGCTTATGAGTTATTCTAGGGCGCTCTTAATTTTTAGTTGTTTTCATCAATCAACGTATTCAATTACAGTGCTCTTCTAAATAACAGTTGCAACAAAAATATCATATAGACCCTAACTAAATACACACATGCTATGCACTGATCATGTTAACTATTCTAAATTCAATTGCTGAATATTGATTGATTGACATCAGCAGGAAAAAGTGTGCTTGCTGCATATGTGCATAGAAGATAGATAAAAGTTTCACCAAGTTATCAAGATGAGCAAAAACAAGGAGAACAAACGTTTCTGAAAAGATAAGCCCTCGGTAAATAGAAAATTCTTCACAAACTAACAAAAATAGAGATAATCATGGGTATGGCTTGGCCCAATTACGGACCCAAATTAACAGGTACAGGATCTCTTGGGCCCGGTTGGACATTTGGGCTGTCACCCCCCCCCCCCCCCCCCTCTTTCAGGATTTCTTGGGCCTGGTTGGACATTTGGGTTGTAGCCACTCCCCATTAAGAATGTTTCCAAACCACACTGCAATATAATAATATGAAAACAAGCATATACTCACCTACTCCTCGATACAGGCCACGCATTCCCCCTTCCTTGTAGACGCTTGTAAGAACATCTTTTAGGCCACCATAAGAGGGTTGAGAACACATACTTTTCATGCCACTACTGAAACTTCCTCTTTTGTCCAAGACCTACAGAACCATTAGAATGAAATTAGAGAGAGAAGAAGGGTCATGTAATGAACTCCCAACTTTTGGACTCAAACAGAAAAAAGCTAAATCGCATATAGACCTCTTGAGAACTGAGCATGATGAAAGTATATCCAATTACAACCATTATAGAAACAGTATAATATTGCTTTATGGAAAAATTATTTGTTAAATTATTCTTTTTGTCAAAAATCCAATCCACAATGGCAAATGTAAGATATTAAGATACCTGAGAGTGACACCTTAAAACCACAGCTCAAAACACTATAACATTCATAAGACATCTTACACACATCCAGATATTCAAGTAAATTATCTGAGGAAGTTAGTGATATGCATTGCTCATACTAATCCTTTATATATATACATTTAGGAGCCATGGAGGAGTTAATGAGACAAGAATTACCTAAACTACTTAATAACCCAAAACACTTGCCCATAACCCATGGTTCTACTACGGATAGCCAGAGGTAGAGTCGGGTGGATTTTGCAGAACCAAATCTAACCTGCCTAGAAAAAAATAATACCCACCCTGCTTCAGTTGGGGTGGGGAAGGTATTACGCGTGCTTATATATATATATATATATTCAGAAGGAGTTCAGGGCAGGTTATATCATTACCAAACCCATTTTAGGTTTTAAAATTAAAATACTCCACCATTTATTAAACTTTTTTCTCTTTAAGAGCATCCATAAAAATGTAACCGTCGTTCACGGAAAAAAAATTCTAGTTAAAAATAATAATAACAAACATCAAGTTGACAACTAAACTCACAATCTGCATGCAAAATATTTAAGTTTCCTGACACCAATTATATTTTAAAATCAATGGTCTTTACAATAAAATTCAAACTACAAGATGAATAAAAGCAATTATATGAACTGAAACTGTGCCATGCAAGTCCACAAAACAAAGCAGCAGGCATATTCCTGGATGATTAAAGCATAATAATTAGCACCAGTATCATTACTTATGGTAGAAATGGGATATGCATGTGCTCCTCATCTCATCATCTTCTTTCTCATATAGCTTAATGATGATAGGAGGAAATTTCACAAATAGAACCATAGAAGAATAAGTTCTAGAATTTCATATTGCTTGAAATAATAATTTGATTCCCAATAAACTCAAAAGGCCTCGACAACAACCATGCAAGATCATTACCTGATAAGCAAGCTTAGTGCGAGCCAAATCTAAGGGATATGTGCACATCACTGCTGTTCCTCCAGCCACTGAACCAGCTAACAAATCTACAACAGGTCCTGAACCTAGAGCAGGACAGTTATTCAAAATCCAACAACGATACTGCTCATATGTCATGAAATGCAAGGCTGCATAGGGAACAATCCGAATAACACTAGCGCCATTTCCCCTGTGTGAAAAAATAAGCATGAATTATTATAATTTTCTCAGCAGAAGAGATAAAAGTAACATGAAGAAATAATCAAACTCACTTATAAAATCCGGGAACTCCCTCATGCTTTAATAATTTCTTCAGTGACTGAAACACCCCGAGAGATTGAAATCCTACAGTTCTTGTCTATAAAATTAAGACATTATGAAAACAACAAAGAAAAACAAAATTGATCAGGAAATTTTAGAAACAGATATTCTGGAAATATCAACAATCACATAGCACGAAAAAAACCATTTAGAAATATGACAAGGAGCACCAGATTAATAAGAATCTTAGTTCAAACAGACATGAAATGATGCTCAAGTAAAAAACAAATAACATTTTTGTAAGTAACCTGAAACATGAATATGAACTGATATCAATCTTGTATAATCAAATCACATATGACCAAGGGGTTACAAAAATTAAAAAGAGTTTTGACTGGCACCATCCGAGAACTTTTTATCTCGCATGACATGTTTTCAGCAAAAATACAAATTGAGTTGATATCTCAAAATTGTTCAAACAAATAAAACAAAAATCTAATTCCAACTGGCCAACAAATATAATCCAGTTAAAATACCCAGTGACATAATAAAAGTCACAAAATTGTCTAAGAGCATGCTGGAGGCCTCACCTGCAAAAGAATTTTAATCCTTTCAAGAGGCGCAATAGCAGTTTTGGCGAATCCTCCAGCGGCTCCACCAGCAATGAGCTCCTTAACATAAACAGGCATAGTATCAATGTATGAGATCTGTCTGCGAGTGGATGACCCATCGACCAAATCTGCCATATTAGCAGACAATGTAGATCCTTGAGAAGAACCCAATCAACAATTCCAGTTCAATCCAAATTCTAATAGTATAAGACTTTGTGAATTCAACAAATAACAATTAGCCACCCTGCAGCTTGAAAAACTCCTTATCCCATCTATCTCTAGGGATACAAAATGAAAAGGCCTTCTGTTCAAATGGTAGATTCAATGGCCAGAGAACACCCAGATATGAATTGGGCAAGTTCACAAGCCGTTCGTCCTCTTCAATAATAACCAGATACATCCACAGATATACAGAAATCAAAACCGATGCAAATCCTTTCAATTCTGCAATTGGCCCATGATTTTTTAACCAAAACCAGCTCAAAATTACAATATTATCAAAGAAACAAATTCAAATTGAGCCAGAACTTCAGGTTAAAATCCCATCAATCTGAATAAAAATCCTCCAAATCCAAAACTCTAGTCACAAACTCCTGAATCAAATAATGGACAATTTTTGAAACTTAGTATAAAAGAATGCCCAGACACATCAAAAGACCAAATGAACAACACCCACGAGAGAGCAATTAATCGAGACAATGGAAGTCTAGCCGTAGAAATCGCTGAAGAAAACCTACCAGAAAGATGGATTTATTAGATTAGGGTGGCGGAGAACGGGTTGCATTCAGCAGAGAGGCGTTGGCAGCTGATCCCGTTCTCCAAAGGAAGGAGCGAGGGAGGTTTCTCCAACGCTTGTTTTCTCTGCCCTTTAGTCACGCTTTCGTGCCTTCCTTCCTATGCGGGCGGTGCTGCGAAATTAAATTTGAAAAATACTTCTCATCCAAGGAATTTCCACCAATGTGATATTTTCTTTTTCTTTTTTATTATTCACCTTTACTTTGCATTATAAAAGAAAGGGTTTCATGTTTTCTCCAAAAAAAACATGAATCTCGTTATAGGTTTATGGCTATTGATTCTTGGATTGATTTTGAAAATTTTTCATTTTGTATAATAAAAATATGAAATTGTACCAAATTTTATTTTTTAAAATTTTTCTAAATAATTAATATTTTTCTTCAGCTAATCGTGGTTTAATTGATTTTCCTAGATCTTGTAGAAAATACAAGATTGACAGGTTTCGAGTTCTAGTCATCTCTATCACAAAAAAATTATATCCAATTTGATAAATGTTGCTCAAAGGGATGAGCTATCTCTTATTGTATAGCCCACTGTGTTATTCCGGTCTATTGAACTTTCTATGTACATATTTGATACTTTAATATCGTTTCAAATTAAAATTAAAATTAAAATATTCATCTTTTTTCCTAAACAAATTGGTTTCTTTCATTTTATTCCTAAGAAGTCGTTAATTTTTTTCATTCTCTCTTTTTTATTTATTTATTTATTTTTTTTTTTTTTTTTAATTCTTCCCTTTTTTTTGGGGAATGTGCTGTATTTTATTCCTTTGCATCCCTCCAACAATCTTGGCTTTTAACTAATTTCTAGGAAAAAATAAAAAAAAGACAACTCCGTCATATTTGTCTCCTTCATTGACCATTGAAATTTTGCAATTAAATTTCTCCTTCATTGATCTCATTTTTTTTTTAAAAAAAAATAAAGAACAGAAATTCAAACTTCAGGTCTTGTTCCGAGTTCGTGAAATTCAACAGTATATATACAGGGGTTAAACGACATCTCGTACGGTTTTGAAACGGAGTGTGTTAAAATGGCAAGTAAACTAATTATCCCATTAAGAAATTAAATACAATACTTGCAGTACAATTATCAACAGTTTTATATGGCAAATATCTCCAATTCCAGGATTTTGAGACTGGGAATTCAAATCCCTAATGGAAGCCGAATAGAAAGGAAAAAAAAAATGGAAATATTATTTAAATCAATCAAAGACCAGGTCGGAAGCTAATGCCTGTTTCCGGAATCCACTTATCTCCCTGGAGGAATTCCTTGACAGTAAATTTAGTAGCTATTCTTTTAGTAATATTTTTCAAGCCTCTCCATTTAACTCTATTCTTTGTAGAAGAACCAGGTCCGAAATTCTCAAATTCAGCATAAAATATTGTAGGTGGAGCTGTATTTCCTGTCCATGGCAACCATCCACTAGGTTGAATGAAACTTGGCATCATTGACTGCATAAATACAGTAGTGGAGTAATTCTTCCAAGGTCTTCCAAGGAATGTCTTTACATCACTTAAATTTCCAAAAGACTTGATGGTGCAATTCTGGATTGAAATTCCAGTATTCTGGTTAGGGTCAAACCTTCCTTGGGCTGTAATGGTGTTTTGTTGACCATTCATAGGCCTTCTTGGCAGTATATTGGAATTTTGAATTACAACTGCAGAGTTTCCAAAGATGAAATCAACAGTTCCATAAATGTTGCATTCGCGGTAGAATTGGCGATTGGAATGTGCATAGAGAGTGTCCTGGAATGCATTGAAGCTGCATCTATAAAAGATTGATTGATCCCCGTTTGACATTAATGCTACTGCTTGATGCTTGATTGCACCTGCTGTGTTTTCGAATCCCACGTCTCTAGCAACGAAGCCCTTGCCAAAAACAGCTGCATGCACATTACTCACTTATAGTTAGTTCAAAATGTGCAATATATTTATCAATTCAGTGCGGTCTGATCGATCTTTTAATTTATGCGGGGAATGGGGTCTCAGGTTCGAGTTAAACACAAAAGTTTTTACAAATTTGGTGAGTAGAAGAGGACTTACCAAAAGTTGCAGTTGAAAATGTGGGAGTTCCATCCACAACGTTGAGGTTTCCAGAGACAATAGTTGCATCCATTCCGTCGCCGATAACCATAACATTCCACTTCGATTTCTCAATACGAACATTTTCAAGATAAATTCCTTTCTTCACATAAATAATGAATCTCTTTTTGCTTTTACTGGGAACAGCTTTTAGTGCATCGCTAATTCTTTTGTACTTGCCAGACCCATCTTTTGCCACAACAGCGTCAGCCTTCAACTTCAGATCTTTACTTTCGATCAATTTACGTTCTTTTTCATGCAGCCATGTCGGCATCTTCATGGTCGCCCTGTCGTTTTTAGGGTAGTTCAATAACCGCCTCATGTTTACTGTGCTTGAAACCTTATAAATCCATGTAATAATGGCTAAGCTGTTGCTAATTAGCTCAGTAGAATTTTTAAGATAATCTTTCCCGTTAATTTTTCCCGCCTCCTCTAATCCATCAATGCATGTTTGTTGGCAAGAACCAGCTGCGCTTAACCAACTTCTAAGATCATCCACAATGTCAAGCACAGAAACGTCATTAGTAGAAGATAGTGAGCCATTTAAATGGTCCAGAGCTAAATCGATAAGATCTCGACAATCTTTCAAGGCTAAACTGGTCGTTTTATCAGTGACATAATCTGTAGAGAAGAAATATTGAGAAGCTTCTGAAAGCTCATTCATGGCGACTTGCATTGACAACTTGAAAAGCTCTTCAGGTTGAAGATGATCGGATTTGGCCAAGGGAGCAAGACTGTTATAGCAAGAATCTTTGTATAAGGTAACATCACATACTGCCTTAATTGACGTAGAAATGGCGCCTTTACTTTGATCGCCATTGTTAGAGCTAGAAGCACGAGTTCCCAATACTGCCGCAACAACAATTGCGGCTAGTAATATTGAGGAGAGGCTTATGATGGTGAGTCTCTTTCTGGTTTTTCGACGAGCCTCGAGCATGGCTTGTTGGGCTTCCTCTACTTTGCCATAGGCTTTGAGAGGAGACATGATTGGCACAGTAAAGTGTTTTTCCTGATTGGGTTTTTGTTATGGTTGGATTACCTGTGGATGCTTTTATATATAGCTAGATAGGAAAAACAAATTAAGGATATTTATATATAATTATTGTTTGGTGTGTAAGAATAAACGCGGCATTACATGCTAGGCACTACATACCGGATGGAATTAATTAATTTTGATGACTTTCAAAATGATGGAGTGCTTCTCATGTTAAGAGTAGATGATCAATTTAATAATACATGTCTAATAATACTAGTAATAATAACAACTATGGTTTCACCAACAGTTAAATTGAATTATTAGTAAACGTGAATTGCATTTTCTAGAGAATTTTACATATAATGTTACAACATAAGATTGGTTGATTAAATATCAATACACAATTTTCGTATATGTAGTTTCTGCGGCTACTTTTAATCACTGATTTTATTATACCTAAGTATATTTTTCTCGTTTTCATTTTAATATATAGATGTTTTCAGACATTAAAAATTTTCCACTGAGTGTATAAATAATAATCTAGTTATCTAAGAATTTTGTCTCCTTTGGTGTATCAAACAAATAATCTAAAAAATCATTAGAAAATTGTGAATTCAATCTTTGAAAAAAAAAATTTGCTTATGGGGGAGTTGACTATTTTTGCAGAATCTAATATCATTTTGTACCCTTAACTTGAACGATCCTGTGTGGTGAAGCCCATTCGGCCGCTTCCAAATACGTACAAAACTCTTTGGAAACCACAAGGACGACTCAGGTTTTTCTTTGGAATGGAAAGTTTTCCATTGGATCCAGCCTTGTTTCCTAGCAGTTTTCCATTCGATCCAGCCTTTTTTCCTAGCATTGTTTCTCTTTTTCAGAGACATATTTGTTGTATAATAATTTGAGCTTTATACATATAATAATCATCAATAGCCATTTTCAGACGTTAGGGGGACAAATTGCTTGAATCTTCAATTCACAGGAGTGCTAAGCCAAATTCATATTAATTTAAGCAGGAAGATCGTTTTTTTTTCCCTTTTCTTGTTTTGTTCTTTTCAAATTTGTTTTCATTAGAAAAGATAAAAAAAAAAAAAAAAAAGATTCATTGAATTAAAAGATTTCCCTATCCACAAATAACAGACACGGATAATCACCCATTAACATCAAGAAAGTTCTTCTTCCTCTTTTCTTGCCACTCCTTTTTCTTGGGAAGGAGTCGCATTTATGTCAGGCGAAGAATTTTGCCTCGAATTTACACTTTCCGGATGATATGTTGAGATATTTTTTCCCATGGAATCATCTTCTTCTTCACGTCGTACTTTACATTTCTCCCCTAATATAATTGTCTTCATCCAAACAGAGTCATCAGCTTTCACTTTTGCTTTCTTCTTTACCTCTCTGTCTCTTCTTGCCATTGACATACTTCTTGGCATTCTCATGCTCGTATTCTTGCCAAGATTTCGTGTTGATGCAGACTTCGTCATGAAATTATTGCAAGAATATGTTCCTCTTAATTGCTTCGCTGGTGGTAAAGGAAGTTCTATTTTTTCTATGTCGTTTTCTTTTCCATCTTCCGATACTGTCGTTTCGTCTTCTTGCTTTTCTGAGGATGCTTTTGAAATATTTGAATCCAAATTCTCTTCTTCTTTTTTATGCGAAGAAGAGTCTGATTCTTTTTCTTCTGTTTTTCTTCCAAATCCAATGCCGCATAGAGTTGTGGATATAGCAATTACTGCAGCCATCCCTGCAAGAAGGAAAGAAAACGACAGCGTTTGATATATTGATAATGGTAAATTTGAATCATCAGCCAAAGGGATTGTTCTTCCCATAACTGAGATAACAAAAGCTGAAATATGTCAAAGGCTTTTCTCTGTTCTTCAACTATTAAATTGTCACCCTCCCGAGAGCCCACAAGATGTGGGACGCTTCGTGCATCAGGTCACCCTTTTTACTTGATTTGGTGGCTCAAAAATGGAGCCAGAAAAGGTAGGCTTTGGGGAAATGGAGAGAATGAAAAAGGGACGATGGTGCAGAGTTTCTTGTAAGAATAAAAACAGGATGCTTGTATTTAGGATTGAAGAAAAAGAAGCAGAGGTTAGGTGTCAGACTTGCAATTTGGACAAGACAGCTCTTACAGCTCCAATTTAGTAAAATCCTTCGGTTGACAGTTAAGTTGGTTATATTCTTTTCCCTGAAAATCCTCGAAATATCATAAGCTGAAAATAATTTTCCCTTTTTGTACACGTTGGCGGAGAGAGCATAGTCAAAACCCATTTTGAGACCCGTTGACTAAAGTCATGTTATAGAATTTTCATCATTCTTTTTTTTTTTTTCTTTTTTGTTCCCCTTCAATTGGTTATGATTCTTTGTTTTTACCAATTACTTGTTGAAAATGAAAAAGAATTATTCCATTTTAGAAATATTTTACCGTTTTAATTAAAATTTTTAAAATTTTAATTAATTCAATATGAATAAATCAACTTCCCTCTTTTTTATCAATAATTCGTGTGTGCCCACTAGAACTCATCACCTACTACAGTCACTACTCATCATTACGAGAATTAAACATAAAGACCAATACTCAATCGAAGATATTCGGTTATTAATTAAATATAATTTAATTAATCTTCTCGTAATCATACAAATGACATAAAAAGTAAAAAGTAGTAAATGTTATTTAAATCTGAGAACTGAATTCATTTATAATATTATTTTAGATTATTTCACCTCTGCATAAAAAAACATATGATAAAAAGAATTTTATAAAAAAATCATATTGAATTGAAGAAAATAATTCATGAAACTTTAATTTGACTTTGGTTGTAATACAGTGGTATTCAAATTTATTCGACGAAGAAGAAATTATCATTTAAAAAAAAAATAAAAAGAAACAAACAAAATAAAGAAAGGAAAAATGTTATCTAGGTGGAGTACAAACCCAACCCAACTTCCATTGGGCAAAGTAGTTGACTTTAGGTATTGTGAGATTGGGTCGTTGGGCCAAAGGCGTCTAATCATTCCTTTATAATTTCAAAAAGAAAAAAAATCCCTCACTCCACTTTCATTTCCATTTTTAAAAATTATTTTGTCAAAAGTAATTGATTATTTTGCCAAATGATAAGATATTAATTAATGTTTTTAATTTGTTGAGATTGAAAATTATGTGAAATAAATAATGAATTAGTCAAATTAAGGAGTATTTTATTATAATTTGGGTGATTTAATTATTTTTTAATCCTATGTGAAAAATCTTAAACAGTAAATAAAAATGGATAGAGAGAACAATTTAATTTTGTTTATGTGTATAATAATGATTATATAGAAACAATGATTGCAAGAATGGAAAAATTCAAATTAATTAAGTTATGGTAATGGATGTCCATCAATGAAAAGAATAAATAAATCTTATTATTATTATTATTATTATTATTATTATTATAAAATAAAGATGAATTAGAGTTAGGCATCAAAACGTGAAATGGTTGTCCCATTTATTTATATATCAGACAATCACATGTTGACATGGCTCTTGAGCATGAAAGGGACAGCAGCTATGACCCTCCCTCAGGAGATGAGAGGAGGGAAGAGGAGTCCATCACTCTTTATAGAAAGGGACACCTATCTAGCCAAGCCAACCAAATTGCTTACTATTTGCTTAATCAATTTATTTTCCCCTAATTACACTTATTATTATTATTATTCTATTTCAATTCAATAAATTTGTTGCAATTCAATACGCCACTCAAAGCTAGTACTGGAAATGGATGGAGGATTTATTATAATCATTATTCTCCATAAATATAATTAACCAAATAAATAAATAAAATTATGTTCACAGAACTATTAACTATTAATAACTTGTACTTCATGAGTATTATTACTATTGTCCTCCGGTTCTCCAGATTCCTTAATATTGTATTTGATGCTTGGGATTTTTGGTTTGACTAAGGAAAACAATATCATTTTTTATTAATAATTTATTTGTTATTATTATTATTATTATGTAAATTGTCTAACATAGTAAATAAAAAAAAATCTTAAAAAGCCGACAGATAGAGGTTGGATTAGAAAGGAATGGAGCATGTGGGCTTTTCGTGGTCTTTTCTCTAAGTATATATGAAAGTAACAGCCTTTTGCTTTCTCCAATTTTATTGCTTTCTCTATTCTTCAATCCGGGATAGACCCAGATTGTTTTTTCCTTTTTTTTTTTTTTTTTTTTTTTTGCAACAGAACAAAGTTCAACAGGATATGTGTATTCTGTGGAAGCAACTCTGGCTACAGAAAAGTCTTTAGTGATGCTGCTATTGAATTGGGCGATGAACTGGTTTGTTATTTATACTTGCACTCCTTTGATTTTCATCGACTAAGATATTCTGGTCTCAAAGACATCAGCTTTTTATGCTTATATCTATAGCTTTAGTTTGTAGATTAGGTGTTCGATGTATGGAACCAAGACTGGCTTCTTTGGATAATGGGGTAGTTTTTAGAAAAATGAAATTTTCTGATCGTTTTCTTGTCTATGTAATTTAGTTGTCAAGCGATTTTTAAATGTACTTATAGATTTGGTTTCCTCTGTTTGGTAATAGGACTTGTTTGTTGTACCAGCCTGAGGTCTCAAAGAACTTGTTTTGTTTATGATTTTGTGTTTAGTCTCTATGTATTGGGCGAAGTACACAATATAATCTATAAAGTGTACCTTGCCTTGTTTGTGAATTTTTGTTAAGTTTTTTCATATTGCTTATTAATGGGGTTTGGATTACAGGTGAAAAGGAAGATTGAATTGGTGTATGGTGGAGGTAGTGTTGGGCTGATGGGTCTGATATCTCAGAAAGTGTACGATGGAGGCTGCCATGTCCTTGGGTAACTAAGAAACTAGCAACGAAGAATATCATCTCCATGTTCCTCAGTATTTGAGCTTTTATTATTATTGTTAAATGCAAGTGAGGTGTTTCTTGGCCTCATTGTGTGACACTACTAAAATAATAGTTGTTCTTTCAATGCAGGATCATTCCAAGAGCACTCATGCCTCTTGAGGTATCTGTGCCCTTAACCATTTTGTAAATTTTTTTTGCTATTGTACTTCCTTTGAATAGATTTTCTACTTTTAAAGGCCTCTCAACTGACAGTTGTTGTCTGAGAGTGATTTTAATTTTTTTTTTTAATTTTTTAACTCTTTAATTATTTTGATTTTAAAATACCTTTCCTTTATTGCTTTAAACCTAAGTAGGTTATTCATATTGCTCCTCGTTGCAGATTGGCTTTAGTTATATTTTCTTTTTCATTCTAATTCTTACCATAATTTTATTTTAAAGAAAAAAAAGTTATAGATCCTCTATAATGTTAGTTCTAGCCCTTTTGAAGAAACTAATTATGTAATTAAGAGGTTGTAAAATTCTGATCACTTGATGATTGCTGCTTATTTATTTACTTTTTGGCAATTTACAGATATCTGGTCAAACTATTGGAGAAGTAAGAACAGTTTCAGACATGCATGAGCGCAAAGCTGCTATGGCCAGAGAAGCCGAAGCCTTTATTGCTCTTCCTGGTAGTAACCTGAAGGATTCTCATTAATCATGAAGAAAACGAAAATTAGTGGCAAAGTCTTGGTGCTTAGTGGCAGAAAATAAATGCCTTAATTTGTGTACTTAATTGTTTCAATATTTTGAGGTGCTTGTACTTGCAAGTCCTAATACTTGAGTTATGTTTTAGGAGGATATGGAACCATGGAAGAACTATTGGAGATGATCACATGGGCACAACTTGGAATTCACAAAAAACCGGTAATCAATCGATAATCTTCATGTGTGGCCTTTCAGGTTTATGTTGTAATTGATTAGTATTCTGGACAGGTTGGCTTGCTAAATGTTGATGGCTACTATAATTGTTTGCTCGCGTTATTTGACAATGGTGTTCAAGAAGGTTTCATCAAGCCTGGTGCTCGTCACATATTTGTCGCTGCTCCTACAGCCAAAGAACTTTTGGAAAAGATGGAGGTATAGAATATTAAATATTATATAAAGCCCCTTGCCCTCAATTTCAGAAGATCAAAGGCTAACCTGTTACTGATCTTGACTTGATTCCAAGCAGCTAACTTAATTGAGTTCACAAACTGAATAACCAATTACAGGGGAAAAAAAAAAGTGAGATTGGTGGACAAGTTAATGTTTGATTTTTGTAGTTTTTTTTTTTTTTTTTTTTTTTTTTCGTCTGTGAATTTTTAACGAACCCACTCCATTTATCGATTCTATATTATCTAATATTTCTATCTAGCATAAATTCTATTACAAGGCTTTGAACTTATGAATCTATTCCCTGGTTTTTTGTGAGTCAGTGCTTAGTCCTTCAGAGAATCATTTCTATATCCTTTATATCTTTGTCCTATATTTTGAATTGGTAGCTTTCCAAGCCATTTATTGTTGTTCAAGTCCTGCCAATGAGATTTTAGAGAGATGGTAAAATTTTTTATATAATTTTTTCTGTGATGATGCTAATCTGGGCAGGTTGAGCCTTATTATCGTATAAGCAACCTGAACATGTATTCTATTTCTATTGCAGCTATACTCACCATCCCATCAGCAAGTTGCTCCTCATGAAAGCTGGAATATGGAGCAGCTAGGTCATTATCCCACACAACAGAATTCACAGTGAAACTATTGATGGTAGGTCTTTCCCCTTAAATGATTCGGATGTAATTAATCATCATTGGAGCTGTGTACAAGAATCTTCTTTAATGGGGCTACATATTGTTCATGACTATTTGCTTTCTGTCTTTTTAATGACTTGAATCCTATTGGAGATCATCCTTGCTGTTTCTCAACATTCTTTGGTTTATGGTCAAACGAGCTACTGTTATGCGGTCATATTTCGTGTTACCATTTACTAAAGGTTTTCATTTGAATTGAGAACAGATGGTATTGGTTAATTGGTAAGCAGCATTATAGAATCTCCTAATGCACAATGAGATGGTCCCCAATGCAGTAGCATAAGTGGACTAAGTGGGTTAGTTGGAGAAGACTTGAGCGATGAGAAGTAAAAGCTATAGAATCCCAAGCAAATCAATCTGACTCTTACATGTTGAAATTTTTAGTGAACTTTTATATAATCCGCTTTTAATTAGTAACCTCAAGGTCCAAGTTAGTTGCTTCCACCTTCATCAGAGAGGGAAGTTGAAATTAGAGACTACAGTGTAACAAGTAGGTAGTTGATATTGATAGTAACTGTGGCTTTGGCTGCACTTGATCCGGCAGCCTTCTGCAGTTATAACATTATGAGTGTCATAATCTCTATCATTTTTTGTTTTGTGGGGTTAAAAGAAATTATTACTGCTTTAGTCTAAACTTCCACACGTTCTGCCTTTCAATAACCTTTGTTAGGGCACCTTGAAGAGAGCACATGTAATAAAGTCTATTTGGTACTGATTTGAGATTATTGACATGATGGATAAGTTGATAACAACTGGACTCTGTTAGCTTGTCTTAACTTGCATTTGTCTGGAATAATATGCCGGTCTTTAATTTAATTATTTGTCCAGAACATGGTCCAGCTCTGTAACTGACAAAATAACTTTGTCTCAAAAAGTTACATCTGAAGATGTTGAAGGAAACAACACATTAGATAATTGTCAAAGAAGCATTTAAAAGAAAAATCCTTATAAAAAGGAGTTCTTTTTAAAACCTCGTTGCCCACTTCTTGAGAGAAACAGATTCTACCTTTTCTCCAGTAAATTATCAAAAAGACAAATATGGAAATAAAGCACAATCTACAGCACTTGTATCAATATGATTTGGGTTTATAAAGAAAACCATTTGATTGGCTGAAAAAGGTTTGCTTACTGAGTGAGACCTCATATACAGTAGCAAGCAAGGACAATCCTTGCAGAGTAAAATGTTGGTGGTTTGGATTAGTGACCCTTATTTATTATTAAGGATGACAGAAATTAACACAGCAAACCCAATCTGTCCAGAATGTGAGGAGCCAAATTGACGTGTCACTTTTTGGCAGAATCATGTGTATAGCTTTACTGGATAATGCTCGACTTTAAATGAAGGTGCCACTGCCACCTACGACTCACATGCCGATGGGGCCTATTGTACATTCTTGTTCTCTTCTTTGTTCGTTGATGTTCGTTCCTCTATCTAGACATGTTCATAACAAGGTGGAGCTTGGAAAATGCCAAATTTTTCAAAAACTCAGCTCATTCATTCTGCAATTTTCATCATACATTGAGACCTGTGGTCTAATACCATCTTTAATGAATGTTTCATTTGTAGTGACTGGCTCATGTCTAATTCAGGGGTGGACCTTATTGGCCTTGTATATGATGAACAAGGAGGTAAAGGTGGAGATGGCTATTGTTTCTCTTGATAGGATGGGGCCATTTTCTTCTTTCCTCATAAAAAATGAGTTGCTAGAGCCACTGAAAAGCCATTTGACTGTTTAATAGGACATGCCATGAAATGAAGTAATTGAGGTATACAAGTATTCCTGTCTGCTACTATTATGTGTGTGGGTCACTGCCCCAACCTTTTTTCTTTTAATCAGACTCAGGTCAAGTCTTGTTTTTTGAGACTCTGTCCCTTCTTGATTGTTTTATTTGCTTTAATGATGCTATTTGGTGCTTTATGTGAAAATATCTATTCTAAAATGCAATGCAAGAAGGAAAAATTGGCACAATGTGAACTTTCAGTACCTTCAAACACCAATTTGGTGGCATCTGCACCAGAGATTGGCCTATATTTTTTTTTTTTCCTCAAATAATACTTAACTGGGGACGATAAAAATTTACTTTTCGAATTAGGTATCATAGGAAAAAATAGTTTCAAAGTTACTCTTAATTTTTTTTGAAGATTGTGTAATTAAAATGCGTTACAATTTTCTTTTTTTTTTCAAATTACTTTTTTAATCGACAATTTTTGTAATTTAAATAACAATTGAAAAATCCACATCAACTAAATCTGTTAATTAATGATAGTTTATTTTACCTAACTCAATTCTTTTTTCTTTTTCATCAAAGGTGGGTGAAATGTATTTTAATTTTTCAAATAAGAAAAAAGGAAACACTGCTAAGAAGCCGCCACTTATAATTTTTCAATTTTTGTCGGTTTCAATCAAAATTAAATAGATTGAAAATTTTTAAGATGGAAATCGAATTAAACAGTATGCAGAATCAAACTGAAGCGATTAGTTTTAATTATTAAATTTGAGTTTATATTTTTGATTTAATAAGAAACGAATCAAATATAAAAAAAAATTTTTTGATTTTTTATTAGAACTAAAACAGAACCGACTATATAGAAAAATCAAATCAAACTGAATCGATTCGTTTGGGCATTTCAGCTTCCTCCTACTGTTCTCAACCCTACTTTTAGGAAGAGTGCATTGCCACTAGGCAATTATTGAGGCCCTGCCCAGAGCACTAGAGCAGTATATCTAACGTTACCAGCGTTTGAAATAGGCTTCCCCTTTATCTTAATATTTCTAAGACAATTGGAAAAGAAGATAAGATATTAAGATGGTGTAAATTGTAACCATTAGGTCTCCCCTGCATCACATGCAAAGATTCTGATGGAGATAAGGATCCTTTCGTTTGAATTTTGGTATCAGAATGAAAAATGGAGCTGTTGGACAGGAGATCCAATCCTATTTTTTATCAGACTATTCCATTTTATAGCATAAAAATCAAAGTTAGCGATTAAAATACAAAATTTCTATTGGACTCTCACCTGCTACATGGCTGCTATAACGAGTCATGGCCATATTACGGTTCCGGGAACCGGAACCGTCGGTTCGAACCAACCCGGAACCGTAACCGGAACCGGGACGAACCAGAACCGGAACCGGAAAAATCCGGTTAGGTTCCGGTTCCAGCAAATGAGGAACCAGAACCGGCGGTTCTCTGGAACCGCTGGTTCTGCGGTTCTAGCCGTTGTAACTGTCAGATTTTTACAGTTTTTTTTTTTGACCGGCGTTTCCTCGGAACCGCTGGTTCTGCCGGTTCTAGCCGTTGTAACTGTCCAGATTTTTACAGTTTTTTTTTTTTAATTTGTTGTGAAATGTCTTAATTACCCCTCCCAACAGCCATAAACGCTATCGGCTACATAACGGCTAGTTTCAAGGGTATTTTTAGAAAAATGAATTTTTGGATTTATTATAAATACCTCATTTTATTTACAAATTCATTACAAAAACATCTCAACTCTCTCTACAATATACTACACTCTCTACTTACTCTCTCTACCATATACTACACTCTACTCTATATTAATCATTTATTCTTCTCTACTCTACTCTATATTCTTACCATGCAAATTTTCGGGTACGCTTCTAACCTTCTTTATTTATATATTCTGAAAAAATACAAAAAGAAGAATTAGCAAAAATGATTTCTATGGAACATTTATCTTTTAGTTTTGGTGAAAAAGTAGGTTTGAAAAATTGGAGAATCATCTATCCCTACAAACGACATCTATGATATGATTCCCGACCAATGTAATTTTGAGGGTTTTCCAAATGAAAATTTGGATATTCCAACTCAAGAATCCGAATTTAATGAGCAATTTTAAGAAGATGAAGAGCAAGAGCAAGAGCTACGAGCAAAAATTGTTACAAGAGCAAGATAAAGTTCCGACATATTCTCCATTCATTTCACAAAAAAATTCAAAGGTGAGAAAATGTACGATATAATTTGCAATTATGTGGAAAATCTTATAAACTTAAACAAGCGAGGGGCTATGGATCATTTTGGAGACAAAACATCCAATAAAATAGGAGTTGATCGGTCTCAAACACAAATTTCCGGGTACGCATCTTCTAACCTTTCTTTATTTCAATATTCTGAAAAAATACAAAATCTGAAAAAATATCAAAAAGAAGAAATTAGCACAAAATGAATTTCTATGGAACATTTATCTTTTAGTTTTTAGTGAAAAAGTAGGTTTTATAATTATTGTCAAAAAGCTTTAAAATCTTTGTGTAAAAGAGTACCAGAAATACTGTAAACGGAACTATATTTCTTTATATACAAGGCAAAAAAGAGTTAGAGCTTTTAATTTTCTTCAATTTGAAAATTCGTGTCTTCAGAAATTTGTTGTGATGTTTGGAGTGATCATTGCAAAATGCATTCTTTAATATGGGTATTACATGTCATTGGATTGATGATGATTGAAAAATTTAAAAGAATATTGATTTTCGTGTTTTTGATGATAAACATACTGCAAATAAATTTATAGAGTAATTTGTTTCAAATATTAGATGAATATAGGTTGACAAAAAAAACTTTTTTCAAATTCATTTGATACTGCTTCTGCAAAATACTAGATAAAAATTATTGAACTTAAAAAAATTTGTGAACAAAATATTGGTGGTAAATTTTTTTCATAATAAGATGTGCAATGCCATGTTTTAATTTATGTGTACAGATGGTTTGAAAAATTCATGATTCTTTTTATTTCTCCAATTAAAGCTATTTCATAATTTATGGAACATATCCCCAAGTGATGAAAGAAGTTGGGCTAAATTTTGTAAAGAAAATAATAAAAGACCAAACATTTTCCAAGGGATGTCCCAACTCGTTGGAATTCAACATATGAATTACTAAACGAGTCTTTTTCTTAATAAAGAATATTATGTTTTTTTTGGTTACCTAATAATATTGAGATCTTAAATTTATATCCACAAAAATTGAGATTTGTACAAAAATTTTAGATATTTTAAAAATTTTTAATGATGCTACCTATAAATTTAGTGGGGTTTATTATCCCACATCTCATTTATTTTTACCTGTGTATTAATATTGTTAATGCACTCCAAGAATTTCAAAATGATGATTTATTAAAAGATTGTATTTTTTCAATGAAAAAAA